ATAAAAGAAAGTTAATTTAAAATAACCAATTGAGATTTTTTTGTTAATTACAAAGATATACATATCTAAAAAGAAATAATATTATAAATCTTTAATTAAAAGAATAAAAAAACTTACATTATAAATCTTTAAAAAGAATAGAAGAAATAATATTATACTCCAAGATTTTGATTTAAACAATCTTTAGACTTTGTCATCATAAAATTTTGCAAATGGCCAAACGACCTACCTAGTTGTCTAAGAATGCTAGTATGCCTTGAGTGTGTGTAAAGCATACACATTGGTCTTCTATAATAGCTTTTGTTTCTGAAATGGGTACATAAGCAAATTTTGGTGTTAAGTGTCATGCGTATTAGTTATGTGAGTCTGTTTTTGAAATTATTCTGTCGGTTGTTTCTCAATTTGCTTTCATTATTGCTTGCGTTTTTATTTGGTGAACTAAATTTATTGTATCATGTATTACAGTTTTGGGAAGGAGAGGTTTGAAAACAGGTTGTTTGGTATTCCCCTTGTTACAAGGTTGTCCAATATTTCTTGTGGATATGATGTTCAAAGGGAGTTTCTGAAGTTAATCAATCCATTTATGATGCGCACTAAAGATGAATTAGATGATTATGATAAGAATGGTGGTATTAATAAAAGACCAAGTGAAGATGATGAATTGGGGGATACTTCTAACTCTTCCATATTAGGAAATGATGCGAACTCAAACATTAGAACAGATGATGGCATAAATTTGTCAACTGACTTTGAATTCTACTTACATGGAATGGAGAAGGTCAAGATAATATTGGACAAACAACCATTAACAATCACAGCATTGCCCAGAAAGTTGCCTGAGGTAGATGTCTTGTGGCCGGATAAGATGCTTAAAATGTATAATACATATCTACTTGATTCATTGCCCGAGGTTTTCAAGCCCCAGCTATTTGCCAAGAGAATGCAAGAATCAGTTTCTATTTACAAGTGCCTTGAAGCCTTCTTGAAAGTGGAACCTCTTGGGCCAGAAGACATGTGGTTAGTAGTTGATCTATATGATATATCAATTCTGTTATTTTATCTTTGGAGATTTTTTCTTTTATGTTTAAGATCATTACATCTTAAATACCCTTTGCATCCTGTTTTTATATGTTAATCAAAATCAATGTCCTGTATTATGAAAGGCAAGATATATATTACAGTCGTTCTGATGATTAATATTGCAATTTGATGTGCACAAGGTACTGTCCTACCTGCAAAGAACCTCAGCAAGCAACTAAAAAACTAGATCTTTGGAGATTGCCTGAGATCCTTGTTGTTCATTTGAAGAGGTTCTCATACAGCCGATACTTCAAGAACAAGCTGGAAACATTGGTTGATTTCCCAATTAATAATCTGGACCTGTCAACTTATGTAGTTTACGGAAATAGTCAGTCTACCAACCGCTATATGTTGTATGCAATTAGTTGTCATTATGGAGGGTTAGGAGGAGGTCACTATACAGCATTTGTCCGAGTAAGTACCTAACAATTTGTAATGTCTCTTGCTCTGTTAAAACATTAGAATGGATTCTTCATTTTTATAATATTAGAATGTAACTATTTATCCACAGAAAAACTAAGAGCTTGGTTGGTTTGAGAAGACATTTGTTTGTTTTTATGTACAAATAATTACCTAAATTTCCTGTTTCCACAATCTCTAATTCAAATATTTATAATCAGGGAACAAAGCGTTTGTAACATGAAATGAAAACGAAAACATTTTTCAAATCAAACAGGTCCCATGTATTCCATTATTAGCCTATTACAAATATTTAAATTTTAAGGAACAATGTCAAACAATGTTTTGATAAGGAGTAGCCAGTGGGTGGTAAAAGAGCTTTGACAGATCACCTTAAGACTGAAATATGATTTTGTAGTTTAGCTTTTTAGAAGTTCGTTCCAGAGGGTGTTAGAGCACATAAGCTTTCCATATAATTTTCTAATTTTCATGTAGTATTTGAATCTTTGACTATTATAAGTTGCATATGCAGTACAATTAGTTTTTATTTTGACATTCTTATTCACATTGATTTATTTTAGTCTATACAATGAGCTTTTTTGGTGTATTTTAGCCATTTTTTTCAATGTTTAGTTTATTCTACACATTATATTAATAATTATAATTAAGTTTATCCAACTGTTTTTATTTTCTTGCAGTATGGCGATGATAAATGGTATGATTTTGATGACAGCAGAGTCGAACCTGTTAACGAGGACATGATAAAGACTCCTGCTGCTTATGTTCTTTTCTACAGGAAAGTTTAGATGAAAACTTTAGAGGCAATTTTTAGTTAGTCATAGCAAAGTGGAATGATCGAGGCTTTTCAGACCTTTTGCCTATACATGCGGTTGTCCTGCTTAAGCGGCACCTGTTGGGTTTTACCGGGAGAAGTGAAGATAAATGCAAAAAGAATTTAATATTGTACAGCTATTAGAACCTACAGGTAAATGAGGGTAGCACTTCAATCTTTAAACCCTGAGGATAGATTGTTTACTCATGTCACATGTATATATGCATCCAGAATATGTTTAACCGATTTTTTTTAGCGGATGTAGTTTAAACCATGATTATATATGGAAAATTACACATTTTTGCCTCCGTAGTTCATAATTAACCGTTCTGCTGCGGAACGTTTATTGTTCAAATGATTTATGTCTTAAGTATAAGCTTTTCAAATTTCATTTTAAGCAATAACCAATATATCGTGATGATAAATTTTTTCTAGAAATATTTATGGCTTTGTTTAGATGAATAGTGTTTTCGTGAGGTCTGCTGATAGTAATACCAAATTTGAAAAATATCTGCCAAAAGTTTTTCCTTTCGTCTGAACCTGTAGAATAGCATAACTATATGTGGGCATAATATCTCAATATCACATACTTTATCAATGATGCTTATTATTATTCTATCTCTTTCTAGTTTCACTTATTATTATGTGTGTATATTTATTAGAGAGAGAGAGAGAGAGAGTTCTTCTCTCGATGTGTTCATAGGGTGGTGTGCATGCATTATTTCCTTAACGGAACAGATTGCTTCTGTGTTGATGTCTTTCAGCCCGTAGGTTCCTCCCGCAGAGAAACTGCTAATTGTATCATAATTGACCGAGAGCATTTTTTTAGAGTTTGGAATTTTCAAAAATTTGTTCAGTCTCAAAAGTGACACCCATTTTCATCATTTTGTGTATTGGAATTCTACAGGTAGTTTTAAAACTTTAATCCAAACAATAGACAGCAAATAAAGGCTTGTTTCCCTTACGATTTTCCTATCCTTTAAAAATATTATGACATTAGGCGAATCTAAGTCAAAACGGCTTAAAATAAGGATTTATGATGTAATATTATTTTTAAATAATTTAAAAGTTTTTAATAAATTTAAAATATTTATTTTTTATTTTATTATTTTCATTTATTTTCATTTATTTATTTTTTAAGTTCTTTAATAAGTAATTATAAAAAAATTTGAAAGACTTACTTATATCATATAGAATTGTTTCATTAAAAGATTATTTCAAATAATTAGTATTTTATTTAAATAATAATTTACTTTATTTAAGTATCTCAGTATGCAATTAGTTAGGTTATTGATTTTTACTCACTGAGTTTTTGAAACTCAATAAATTATTCAAAAAACTGCATAGATCTTTTAGTTCAAATGCTGCGTTTCTCTGGCGGTTTAGTATTTTTAAGTCTGGATGTTTTTCCAATGAAGTTTTTCGTGGAAATTACTTATTAACTTTAAATAAGTAAATAATTTACTTTTATAAAATTTATGCAGTTTGTTTTGTCTAAATAAAATTTTGAACGTTCATCTATTCCTAATATATTCTTAATTGAAGATATAATCGAATAATAAGTTTATCTATAAGTTCTTTTCACAAAAGTAAAAGAAAATTAAAATCAACTTTTATAAACTAAATTTATAGAAACTCTTCCATGCATTTTTTTTTTATACATAAATTAATTTTAGTTAAAAAAAACGAATTTTCTTTCATTTTTGAATTTTTTAAAATGATTTATAGAAAAACTCGTCCAAACATATTTATAATAATTATTTTAAAATGAAATTCACCTTAATACTTGATCACCGTCTTTCACATGAGGGTTAATCTCATCATTCATACATATATTTGTGAAAATAATCTATCACAGACGACGGACTATTTTATCTCATAATGAAAAATGCTAAGCTCTAAGTAGGCTTGAGTTAGAGAGGACAAAAAGTAAGAGAGTGAGAAAAAAAGAAAAGAAAAGAAGAATTAGAAAATAGAAAGCGATATTATTTGAGTTAGTGGAAAAAGAATAAAACTCAAAAAGATTAATAGGTGTTTTCTTTATACAAAGTGTAAATTATCTTTGTGTCGTTTTTTCAAATTTGAAAATGCAATGTAAAAAAGAAAATATTCGAAATGTATGAAAATGGCATTCACGGGTCTTTTCTTATTCACAAATAATACTTTTTTGTCCTAAGCAGAACAATATTTGTAAAATGAAGGCATTAGAATAATGTTTCTAAAATACAGGTCTATTGTTTCTAAAAGACCTAACAACAACATTATTCTAAAATAAAGGTATTACACTATCTCCAGTTTTGCATTCGAAGAAAACACTTTTTTTTCTTTTTCTAATAATGCATACAGTGTTTTAGATAATCGATCACGTCAGAACCATAATCGAATAAATATCAACAATTAATTAGGTTCACATAATTTATTAATGAAAGCTGTTAAAAAGTGGCATTCACGAGTTTTTGTTAAGAAATGAGAACAGTACACTGATGATAATTTTCGAGGGTCTGAATGAATTATGGACTTAACTTTCATGCCAATTATGGACCATCGAATGTGATCGTGGAACCCACCAATCAATCGTGTCTTTCCTCACCAAATTCACGTACAACCAATGACTTCAAGTTCAGTCCTTTCCTTTATCCTCAATAATATAAATGCAAACAAAGATTTGGTGTGACAAGAGAGAAGCCCCATGGTGAAATACTCTCTTATTAAAGGAAACCATCTAATATACATTTATTTTTAATACATCAATTATTAATTTTTTAATAAAAGTACAAATAATTAATTCAATCAATTCTTATATTTTTTAATTAATTTAATTTTGAAAAAGTTATAATATTATTAATAAAATCATCTAATTCAATTATTAGTTTCGTTGTTGATAATTCATTGAATATATTTACTCTTCTTACTGGAGAGGAACATAAATATCTTATGCATAAAACCTGTTTTCTATATACGATTATACTAAGTTAGAAAGTTGCTTTAAAAGTGTAGGACGGGGTGAAACCCACAAAATCTGAGAAGATAAAACCTGCTCGCACACTCTCCGAGAAAAAATATTCTCTGCACTACTCTTCCGTGTCGTGTCATCGCCGCCGATCCTTCTTTTGCCTCGCCCTCGCCTTTGCTGTGAGTTCCATCTCTTCTAAATCTCACTCACTAATCTGCATATGCATCTGTTCCTTTTAACTTCTGTGCCAAAATTCGCTTCAATTTAACATAATTACCAAATCAGTGTAGTGTTGCTTAAAGGCAATACCTACTCCTTTCCTTTTGATTTTGAGTTTCCATCACCTATCAGTGACATACTTTCATCGGATTATATTTGTCTTCTATCCAGCTTAATGCGTGCGCTAACATGAATTTGGAGTCAAAATTTTACAGAAGTTATCTCTATTTACACCTCATATTTCTATTTAACAACTCAAAATATTAATATAATAACGAATATTATTATTTAATTAATAAAAATAGTTGTAACTAAGATATCTGGTTCTGAACCCAACATTTCCAATTACTTTATTATCTACATGCCTTTAGTTTTTCAGATTTGTTGGCTTTTTAGTTTATTTTTTTGAAAAATTTACAGAAATTGATAAATCGTGTTTTAAAGATAGACTTCCTGTAAGTGGATGATGTTTTAAAATGTATTTTTATTTTATTTTTTTCGTTTTTGCAATAATAGAAATTATCTTTTAGAAGCAAACTTTCTTAATTTCTTTTTAATTACTGAAGTCATGATTTTAACAGTTGAGCTTCAACAAATAAATTATATATATATATATATATATATATATATATATATATATATATATATATATATATATATAACATTGTCAAATTGTTTGAAAAATAGTTTTAACATTTTATTTTAAAAGTAATAAAATTAAATGCAATTTAAAAATAATAATAATGACAATAAGTGTTTCAAAAGAAAATTTTCACAAATAAAATTTTTTAAAGAATACTTTCTATAATTTTTCCAAAAATTGCTTTGTATGCGTAAAAAAATCAAACTTATGTCACTGGTCCATGTAACTTAGGAGTAATTTTATTGGTTAATTTTTGTTATTATATTTAGTATGGATAAAAAATAACATTTTTTTTAAATTAAAAAATGAACAATCTGTATTACAAGTTTGATGTTTCGTCGTGATGTTCGTTGTCCTAATCACTAATGTTTTTGAAGAAAGAAAAAGGTAAAAGTTAACTTAGAAATTATTTGGGTCTCTTCCGTTGGATGCTGCATTCCACAACCCTACATTGATTTCAAGAGTTTGTTATTGCTTTTCTCGTAAGGGCTGCAGAGGTCATCCCCTTCTTACTCTTTCTAGGTATCTCATTTTTTTCTCTTTATTAGTCATCTTGTGTTGGAATGAGTTGTGACTGCATGCTAGTGATTTCAGGGTACAGAGTTTAAGGTAAATAGACTTTTAACTTAGTAACCATCAAAACAATTGACGAATTCCACAATGTCTTATTTTTCTGGTTTAAAATTATACATTTTATCCATGTTATCAAATTAGTTGTGTTTCTCCCAGGTGTGGTAATTTCTTTCGAAGAAACTACACAGTAAAAGATTGAAACGCCATAAAATGCCTTTAGTCCTTTATTCTGTTCACTGTAACGATGTTATCTGTATGGATTTTGATTTTAGTTGTTACAAATAAAACTGTACACTCTTAGCATTTTGTGTATTGGGCAAGTGAGGTTTTGGAGTTTCGGTTTGGGTGGAAGGGAATGGGTCTGATTGATTGAATCCCTAGGAGGTATTATTTTGGGGGGTTTATTGTTTCTGATTGGTTAATTGTGTTAAGTAGTATAAAGTTCAGATTAAAAAAAGCTTTTCGGGTACTGAACCTGTGATTCCCCCAATAGCACAGACATGCTAATAGATGGGAACTATGTATTTATTATACACTTCAAATGCCTACATTCTGGACTCGAATGTGCATGGTTTGCAAGTTTATCATACTGAACAAGTCAATGATTCAGTCTTTTGATCATCAGTTAAAGCATATTTTGTTGGGCGCTAATTGCAGCTAAAATTATATTTTATACTTAATTTTGTTGCTGCTTTGACAAACATGGTTCACTGTTTATTATATGAATCAGTATGAGATAGTTTTAGAAAGAATACTTGTTATATTTTATTTATTTTAAAAATCAAATAAGCCTTTGCATTTCTATTTGCCGTTTGTTCAGCAGAAAATGGATTCTGATGCACTGCCATGGGGAGACAAACTCATACTGCGGGGATTGTCATTCCACGGTTATCATGGAGCAAAGCCCGAAGAAAGGAAGCTGGGTCAGAAGTTCTTGGTAGATATAGATGCTTGGATGGATCTCAGAGCTGCTGGCAAAACTGATCACTTATCAGATACAGTTAGTTACACAGCAATCTATGAGTGAGCCACCAACAAATTTAGAACCTCGTCTATGTTCTGCTTTCGTCATTTGATTGTATAAAATTCTAGTGACATTATTTAGTGTATGTATCTTTTTAACATGTCAATAATTGGTGATGCAGTATAGCAAAGGAAGTTATTGAAGGATCACCTCACAATCTTCTGGAATCAGTGGCCCAAAAAATTGCAATAACTACTCTGACAAATCATAAAGAAATTTTTACTGTTCGAGTGAAGCTTGGAAAGCCTCATGTGGCAGTTATAGGTCCAGTTGATTACCTAGGCGTTGAGATTGTTAGACGCAGAAGCGATTTGTCAGACTAAACTTTCATATTTTGTTTTGGTTTCACTCTCATATTTACTCTTGCAGAATTTTTATATTTTCAAGTTTCATTTGATACAATAATAATAATAATAATGTCACTCTTTCCCTGGTATCCGGTCATTAATCTTTTCTCTCTTATCATATAAAATTAGGAGTTAAAAAGTTAGGCCTAGTGAGTTGCTGAAGTAAGTGGGGAAGGTACCTAACACTTTTCATAGATTACCCATGCATAGTTGCAGCTTCAGTTATGTTAAGAGTTCAAATGGCTAAACAGGTTACATTTTTTGAAGTTAAAAATAATTTTAGAAGTATAGATATCAGATGAACAAAGCTGTGGTAATTAATAAATCACTCTAAACAAATCCTATTCAATGGTCCCTTCTTTCTCAGATTAGCATCCAAGGTTAGAAATATTATTGTTTCTTCCAAAATTTTGACATTCAATGCAATATTACCATCATTCCTATTTAGTTTAGGAGGATGAAATGATCATAATAGTATCTCTATTAAGTTACTGGTGGCTGTAATATGTGTAGCATCTGCCAAAAGTCATGCCTTGGTTGTAGTATGCTGCCTCCATCTAAGGTTTGGAGCAAATTAGGCTAAACATTTATTGGTGACCGAATCCATTATTTGCACCACTCATGTGAATGTTCCTTTATGTGCATTATTTTGCAGAGGAGATAATAGGGTATAACTGTGTATAGTTTCTTTTACCTCATGGAGTGACTAAGAATCTAAGTAGAAAGTCTTCCTCCCTTTCTTCTATTTGACTACATTCACTTTTCTCCAAGGTATATCTGATGGTTCTGCCAAACCGGAAGCTGTAATGAACAGCTGAATTATGGTTAAATAGAGGGTATTTCAATCACATCAATCCTGGAGATCAAATCTGTAAACCAATTTAGGAAAAGAAAAAATGCGCTCATTTCTTTTTTGTTTATATATACACACACACACATATATATATATATATATATATGAGTCATAAGTTCTCTCTAATTCATAGAAAAAATATGATTAAGGTATCTGACATACTACCAAAAAATTTTGTTAATATTTTTGCACTACAATATTTTGAGATTTTTACCTTTAAAATTGACTGTAAAATATGTCAATCTTCTTCTTAACTATGTTAAGACCTAGTTTCTTAATTTTTATATCATTATAAATAAAACAGAAATTTTTTATAACATTTTTTTAAAGGATAAAATACAGTGGAAGATAATAAAAAAGAAAAAAATATTAACACGTAATCCTTTAGAACATATAAAACTACCTCTTCGTATTTATATCAGGATATATATATATATATATATATATATATATATATATATATATATATATTATAATTAAAGTTGTATATATTTATTTTATAATTTATATTAATATTATAATAATAATAAATATATAAAAATATAAGATTTTATTATCATCATTATACTAATAAAAAAATTATTGGGTGTTTATCTTAATAAAAAAATTGTATCAAATTGGACAAAAAAAAATTCTCAATTGTTAAATAAAGGACCACCATCCCCACACAACAAATCTTGTAGTTTGGAGTGCTGTGACTCACAATAAATTTATCACTGTAGATGATCATAGTACCCTGTCAACCCTTCTTACCTTGTCCCCCAACACCTCAGAAACCTTAACGACAACTCCATCATAAAAAATCACTGTCCTCAATTCTTATCCTTGAAAGAGAATGAACCCTAGAGGAATCAACCATATATTTTCCCTCATTTATGCAATACCCTTGTCTAGATCTTTACACTGATTCAACAAAAATTACTCAGTACAAGTAAAACCACACAAATTATATATTCAAAAGAAGTTCTCCAAGTCTTAACTTTTCAATATTACAAACAATCCATCCATCATCTCAATACTTGTCAAAGATAATTTTATTTTAACTTTAGTTTTAATTTTTGTTGTTGTTTTAAATTTTAGTGGTTTCTTTTATTGGATAATTAATCATTTTTCTATAATATTATTAATATTTAATAATAACTAGATTTGACATTAGATTTAGAGAAGATAAATTCGTCTTTTTCTTTTCAATATATCCTATCTATTTTAAAAATTTAAGTGTCTGTAGTTTATTACTATCCTTATTTATTCTTTTTCAAACTGATAAATTCATACTTAAAATATAATCAACTATTAATTCTTTTTTAAATACTCTTAAAAGTTATTAAAATAATTTTAAGAGAATAGTTTTTTTACAACTTTTTTACACAAGTTAAAATGTTGATAAAAAAATCATGCAAGAACACGTAATTAAATTTTAACTAGTGACATGTGGATCCATCTAGATGAAGAGATCATCAAGTGGATGCATATCAATTCGCATTTATTTGTCACCAATATTAAATGTAGTCAAATTCATACGCATAATTATATATAAGTGAAAATGATTTTTTTTTAATTTAAAAAAAAATTGAAAATATACTTTTAAATATTTGATATTCAAATAATTTATTATTTTTTATTTATTTTTGCTGATACATGTTATTATTATAAGAAAATAAACTCTTTGTTCATAATTAATTATAGGGTAATTTATAGTTAAAAAAATGTTAAGATACATTAAATAAAATTATTTAAATTAGAACAGCACCACAGTAAAAGATAAATAAAAATTACAAGTAATTTAAAAAATATATATATAATAATTTAATAATTTAGACAATTATCAAAATACATTTGTTTATTATCAATACCAATCATTTAGTTCTTTAATATATTTTAAAAAAAGCTATAATTTGAACTTTTAATTATACTAACATGTAATTTTATCTTTAAATCATTATACCAACAGTACTTTTATAAATTCACTTCTCTTCTTCCATTTGAGAAATAATATTTTTTAAGAAATTGGAATTATAAAACAAATAATTAGGAAAAGGCAAAATCTCAAAATTCAAATGAATAATTTAGTAGCACAAAATGTTGGAGGATGAAAAATTGGGTGCCCATTCTGGCAATTGTGTGGAGACCTGTATCAAATTTCCAGTATCTTCCCATTCAGTTGCCCAATTTCATAAAAAATATGAGCAAGAAAAGAGACACCCACCAAAGTTTCTCTAAAAATAATTAAGACACTAATTCAATGCATTGTTTTCTTTAATCATACTTATTTCCTTTTACATATTTCTCAAATGTTATAAAAAAAATCATTAATCGATTTTCTATTTTATTCCATGACAAAAAAGAAATTAAAATTTCTATTTAAAACAATCTTTTTATTTTTTTAAAACAATCTTTCATATATCACATTTCATCTTCATTAACTTGTAGCAACTAACCTAACCTAACCTCATCTTTACCCTATTTATTCATTGACTATGATGCTTCACCTATCTCTTCAACTGGTCCTACAACCATCACTCTCTCTTTCTTTCTTTTCTTTCTTCTTCCCTGTGTGGTTGCAATCCCCATCTTCACCTACATTTCTCCTCATACTCATTTCATTTTACCAAATTCCATTTTTTTCTTTCTTTGGAGGAACGAAATACATCAAAAATTTGTTTTTCTCCAAATCTATGGATGACAACACTTTTCACCAGTATCCAAACATAATATAAATAAACAACACAGTTCATCTTTAGAGATACTTACAACAGTCCAACATTTATTCTTATTAAAAAACTGACTATTTTTTTTATTTATATATTAGAATTTGTTACTGTGCATTGAAATTTATAAAAACATTTTCTTAACTTTAACATAATCAAAGTAATAAGTTGTATTAATTAGTTTATAAAATATGGTTTGTAAAAATATAGGCATGTGAAGATTGAGCAGAACCATATAATAGTAAATGTTAAAAAAAGAAAGATTTTCTTATAACAACATGGTTGGTATGTTTGGTTGTTCTCATGTTTGCTGGGGTGTTTTCACTTGAGACGGCTCTGTCTCCTCTCTATATGGTTCGGATAATTCAAATTGCAGATTTTTCGTATTGAAAATCACATCTTATCAACCAAATGTTTCGTGTATTAGTGCAGTTTGTTTTTAATAATTATTTTTTCTTGGATCGATATTAAAGCCACTGTTTTAGTTACCAAGTGGAAATGATTACTACTTCTGCTCACGTGGTTTCATTAAATTTGGTCACCCGTCTTTCTTTGGAGTGTGTGCCCAGATTATCATTAAGGGTCTCAGAATTTTCAATATTTTTTAGTTTTCTTGGCGCAAGCTGGTAGCTAGATCACACACAGGTTCAAATGGATGTCATAGAGTTATGCATATAACCATTCTCTTTTTCTTTTCTTTTCTTTTTTTTCTCTTTTTGTTAACTTCAGTGGGGCTAGTGGAGGAAACTTTTGAGACCAATTACTTGTTACAATATGCTATTTTTGTTTTGTTTCGATAAGATGTGAAACTGAATTTAACCTGAGTGGATGGATAGCTACTGTTGTTTTTACCCTCACCGTTGGATTTCTATGGTTTTGGAGAATGTTGAGTTCAGAATCTTATATTTATAAATGGTTGTGTAGGACCTGACTTGCTGATAGAAGGCTGGTTCTTCTTCCCTTGGAGAAATAGAAATGGTGAAAAAAGGAAACATTGTGCAGTATAGGGAGAGGTTGGACAAGACCCTTACCTTACCTGATCTGACAAATGATCAGATACTCAAAACCCTTGTCAAAAGTCAACTCCAACGTTTTTTGAAAGTGGAAACTGAAGGTAATAGCATTCTCTAGTTTGCTTTTGAGCTCTTTTGCAGAAAAGGTGCCAGCTTACAGAAGTTGTTATTTTAGTTAGTTATGTTAATCTTCTTCTATTTGTTTATATATTTGGTTTTTGCAGGATGTAATGAGAAATTAGTAGAAACCAAAACCACAGAGCTATATAACTTTCTTGATATGTTGAGAAGTGCTTCTGGAGACAATAGTGGAGGATCTAGTACATCACAGTCTGATTGGAAAGTAAGTTATCGATTTTTTTATTTTTTTTTTTTCTTCTTTCTATTGCTTGTTCATATCATCATCTGTTGATTTAGATCTTGAACTTTCGTATCTTGTTGACATGCAAAACAGAGACAACTTTTTTTGTATTTTGGAATTAAAATTGAAATTTTATTTCCATAATTTATGTTGACAATTTAATATAAACTTTTATTACATAAATTATCAAGGTGAGATTCTTATTCTTATTAGATAACAATAAAAACTATATCTAAACTTTATCGTTATTTACCTGGTTGGTTACATCTTTTCATAGAAATCAGGAATTTACATTGGCTGATCAACTTGTTGCTTCAGTGATTTACCAGTTGATAATTCAATGGAATAATGCAATCTTGTTTGAAATTTATATAGTGAATGCTGTGTTACTTTGGGCAGTAAATGCATGAGTTCCTAATCAACTTCCTGTGAAAGTTCTGATTGTTTTACTTCTATAAACAGTTAAAACAGGATAATGAAGATTTTCGAGTTATGTATCGTGAAGGATTAGAGGGATCTCCCTTTCATTCGTTGCTAGTTGAAGGCTATGTAGATGGGCCTCTAGATCTATGTAAGTAATGTTAGGATGAGCCAAAATTTTCAGCATCTTCCTTTTAATTAGTTTAACAACAAAGGCCATGTTATGATCTTAACATGTGAAATTTCGTTACATTTACAGCTTTGTGCCTTTCATGGGAGTCCTTCCTCTACAAGAAATGGTGAAATATGTTCTTTTGCATCCATTGCACATTATGTTTGTATAGCATAGAAGTTATTTGATTCTATGTTGGGGTATATACCCATTTCACAATTTTCAATTTTTCCAGGTGGCCTCAGTTTACTATTCCCAGTTTCAAAGTTCTAGTATCTGATCGTTTGCAGAGGGTCCACATTGGGGAACATATTTCACTAGTTAGGTTTGTCTTGGCTGCATCAATTATGTAAATTTACAATGTAGGGTGTGTCACTGACCATGTTAAATAAAAAATTTACTTTTGAAATGCTTATTATATTGCTGATTGTGGAAGAAAGGATGAAGGTTCCATGGCCCCTATCTACAAGGGAGGCTATAGTGCATTATTATCTTTTTGAGTACTTTCAAGATGACTTAGTAGTGGTTCTTTTGAATTCGGTACTCCCCTGGACCCTTCAATCCTTTTCTCAAGAAAGTTAATTCTAAGTCATATCATCTAAGCTTCGAGAAATGAGTGTTTAATTTGCTTTCAGGTGTCTGAGTCAACGAGCATTGATAATTTCAACATGGATGCAATTCCTCAGGCAAAGGATGTTGTGAGAATTGATTTGGTAGGAGGGTATGCAATGCAAAAGGTGACATCAGAAAGAAGTTATTTTCGGTGAGTTTTTTGTCAGTAACCTTCACAAAGATGAGTACAAGTATTGAGTAGGGTACGCTGAGAATTGCTTTGGTACCCGAGAAATCTAAGAGTTTTGGCTCCTAAATTTGGCGTCAAATTTTGTAGGATAATAGCCAATTTGGATATAAAGCTGGATTTTGTACCTCCAAGTCTCATAAATTTCATTTCAAGGCAGCTCATCGGCAGTGGTTTCAGACTTTATCAGAAGGTTGTATATTCTTTTCAAATTTAGTTTGTGTTCATCAATCAATATTGACTTCTAAATGATGAGCAATTCACTAAGCATAAACTATAACATTCATATTCATTAATAAGGATTCATTATTTGTGTTTAACAGGAATCTTGCTAATGAATGTCCGAAAGACTCTTGTTAAGGAGTGTATGATTAACACACTATTAGATACTTCTTATTACTTAAATATGAAGAACTAGATAATATTTATTTTTAATGATGTATGCTTTTCTTTTCATTAAAAAAACACTCTCTAATTTTGTTTCTTTAACTGTTTTTTGGCAATGGCTAGTTAGAAGATTGGTTTCAGCTTATTTATCATGTTCTGCTTGCTCATGTATATACATACCGCATTCTCAGCGCATTGTTATTTTGTATTACTTCGCCTTTTGACATTGATCAATTTCTCAAATTGTTATAGGCTGTGGTTTCGATGATGGGCAATGATAAAGATAAAGACTTCAGCAAGGCCTTGGAGGACTCATTGTATGTCAGAATACGCGAAGCTCTAGTAACTGGGGAAGAGACTAAGCAAGATGCAAGCTTTGTTCCAGATGGAGAACTTATTCAAAGTGAGGATGAAGATGGGGCAAAAGATATATCCTGTGAGGATATGAGCAACCAAGGTCCAGGTGATGAAGAAGTTGTAGAAGCAGACTGTAAAGAGATTGTGCAAGTTGAGGAGGATGTCAACAAGGTGCTTGAAGTTCCAACTGAGAAAGGTGATTCGTGGAGTGTGCTGAATGGCAAGGAGAATGGTCAGATTGTAGATGCAGGTAATGAAGAGATTGTTGAGATTGAGAAGGATGTGAACAAAGTGAATGACAGTCCAGTTGAGGAAGATGATTCAAAGAGTGTAGTGAAGGATAAGATGAATGGATATGTACGGTCAGATGTGAGAAGGGCTCTAGAAACAATAGAGAGGGTTATATCAGCGGTTAAAGAATATGGATTTCATTCCCTCATGCATACTTCAAACTCTGCTCAGCAAGAGTCCCACTGCATGGGAAAAGGTGGCATAGTTGACTCAAGTTCTGCAAAACCTAGTCAAGCATGTTTGAAAAATGAGGTTAGTGTCAAAGAATCAAGCAGCAATATATGGGAGGAAACTTCTGAAGATCCTGCGACGATACAAAGCTTCAGGTAATTTATAATGTTACATCTAATGCTAGTCTATACTTTGAGAGGGATGATAGAAGAAAGAGAAGTGATAACTAGTACTTGGTTTGTTTATTATGAACATGTATTTATAACTGATGTTCTTACTATTTTTCGGTTCCTTCAGGCACATGGGAACAAATCCTAACTTAAAGGAAGTTAACTATAAGAAAGTTGTACCAGCTTCACCAGATCGTAATCTTTCAAGACCAATTGAAGCAAACCAGGTTGATTCATATTCTTTGAAAAATGGGAGAACAATGGAGCAGACAATAAGTGATGACAAGCAATTAAACAGTGATGCAGTCAAAGATATACGTTCAGAGGACATGAAAAAGTCAACCAGGGAGATGAAGTACAGATACTGTTGTTTTATGTAATAGCTAGAAAGAGAAAAGTTTGGAAGACGTTAGAAGAAGACAAAAGCATATTTAGAGGCGTACGTTGGACCCAAAACATTCAAGGATAGGTTTGATGTATATTTATCCGAAGATCATGTTGGACAAATTTTGTCTACTAGAAATATGACATTTGTAATGTCAAATTTTTACTATTGCTGTTGTTCAATCAATATGTAGAATAAAGTTTATTTAAAAATGTAAGTTTGGTTAATTAGAGATTTGGTAGATGATGGTCTTTGCATATTTAGTTTCTGTATCCAAATTTCAGTTCAAAAGTTAAAACCTTTTTTCCTCGTTCTGAGCACTAAAGTATGTATTTTTTTTTTTTGATAGAGATTAAAATGAGTGCTTTAAATAAAAATAAAAGTTTGGTTTTGATTTTTAATATCACATTCAAAATATCCAATCTTTTTTTTTAACATTGAAGCTCATATTTTATAATTTAGTTCAAATTAAATCCATGTATAATTTTATTTTTATTAGATAAAGAAATTATTTATCATTATTCAAACTAAAATTTAAAAAACTGATAATATGTCTCAAAATAACTACAATTTTAATCTTAATTTTTTTAGTTTAACTTTTAAATAAATTACTTCAGTATTTAAAGTTACAACGTACAAAAATAATATTTATTATAGAAAAATGAAATCATTTTTATGAATATTATATTTAATTATTGTTCTTATATTATAATAAAAAATTTAAACTGGAATAATTTTGGGAGAGATATAAGTTATCTATATGCTCATCTAGAAAGGCCTGAACCCAAAAACGCAGCGTTCGAATCCGAAGTCTTGGGACGCAAGTTGCAATCGCAAACATAAGGAAAGGATTGAAGAAGGAAAGGAAGTCTTGGTGCGCAAGCTGCAAACACAAAAAATGGGGTGGGTTTGGAGGGATGACAACGGCGACGAACTTCGACGCGATGTCTCTTCGGAAGGGTGCTCCACCACGAAGGTCGTCAAATCTCAGTGCAGAACAGAGGAGGTCGAATCTGGAAAGTTCCTCAGAAAGTGCGAGAAAACAGAAGAGCTTCTCAGGAATTGCATCGGAAAGTAATGGTCTTTTTTTTTTTTTTTCATTTTCTTTGTCACTTATTATAAATCTATTTGTTACTATTATTTTTACAATACTCTCAAATGTGATGCCGTAGAAAATACCATTGATTGATTGAATAGGTGTTAGTAAGAGGTTTGCTTTGATTCTAGCCTACACTGTGTGGAATTTATTTATTTATTTCCTTTTTGTCAATCACAGAAAAACTAATTCGATGGTATTATGAATCAAAATCTGGAATATTTGGAATAGAATTGTGAACGGTTGCAGTGACGTCTTTGCTTCGTTTATGAAATAGGGTAAAGTCTGGAGGTATATATTTTTTAGGTGAAAATTATGTTCCAGAATTCTGTTATATCGTTTTATGAAAAATTGAAAATCGTGTATCAAGAAAAACATTATAGAGCTATGTATGGATATTTTTCATATCTTTGTCTGGAGGAATTTAGAAAGGTAGATAACTCGCGAGGTGATAGATGCGAGTTGCAGATACTGGGGCTTAAAATCGGCTTACAGAAAATCTATAAAAACTCTTTTTGAAGCTTTAACAATGATGTGTATCTAAGATTTCGGTTGCAAATTCATTCCCTGTTGTCTCTCATCTTGCACTACAAGTGAAAAACCATGTGATGGGTGGAATAGGATCGACTAGGAGGATTTGATCTCTGATATATGAGAGTCATTCAAACCCATCAAGAATTGCATGACATGACATACTCATATAGGTATATTCTAGCCAAGGTTGAATAACTCAACAGTTGCATGAGTGGGCAGGTTTTGTATTACCTGGCTCCTCTGATAGAGACTTCAATTTTGTAAAATGCGAGTACTGACTCACAGAGACTTCCTTGTTCGAGATTCACCAGTGCACACCTTAATATAAAAATTCTTGGTCCATTTGTTGAAACCTCACTTCCATGCCAAATTATTGCAGTGGAGGATGAATATATCACAATTTTTCTGATGTCCTTTGAAATGGAATTGAGGAGCCAAGAAGCAGCAATGCTATTGTTGCGTTGCCATGAAAAAAATGTATTGTCTTCACCTGGTTCTTATATAAAACTGTGAGCAAGCCCAAATTTGTTTTCCCGAATGAGTATCATTTTCATGGCCCAGCACCAAGAAGTGTAGTTTTCACCATTTAAAGATTAAGAAACTGATACTGAACCAGGATTATCAGAGGGATGAATGAAGAAGGACCATGAGCATCATCCATTACAGCAATGGTTGCATATGCGAAGGAGAAGATAATTCAAAAGAGAGAAAGAAAGTTAGACTAGGCAGAAAATAATCAAATTGTATACCATATTAGAAGATAATGCTGGTCTGGGATAGAAGATTAGTATTATTGCTTTGTAGAGATACAAACTTTCATTTTTGTGTGTAGGCCATTGATGTCTAGCTGAATGACAAGAGTGAGTAACAAGCATATCAGAGTAACTAAAAGCTAGTTATTTCCCTAATTCTAGGATGTATTGAGTTTTAAAAGCCGTGAGAATGATGTGTATCTAAGACCTTGTATTTGAATCGTGAGAATGATGCGTATCTAAGACCTTGTATTTGAATCCTGCTCTATCGACGTAAAATGGAAGTGGAATGTATCACTAAGATTGTTATTAAACTCAAATCAATGTAAATGATACTAATGACCCTCCTTTGCCTCGTATCATCATATTCTTTTTATATCTAACTTATTTTTTTTCATCTATCTGCATTAATGCAAAACCAGGTGAAAAATAGCTTTGTATAATGAGTACAGTAAATGGGTTGGAAAGTGGATGAGGCATACGATGATCAGACTGGTTTTTAAAATCTAGTTTCTGTAGTATTTTTAAGATAAAATTAGAATGAATAGTTTTTATATCATGGTGATGTAATGCATGGAATTCAAGGAACAAGTAATGAAACAGTAGTCAAGCTCTGTAGTAGTATTATTGAATATAAAAGGAATTTCTTACAAGCAGATCAAAGGCTAGAGTAGTAGAAAATTACAGAGCTAAAGCAAACAATGAACAGAGAAAGTGACTGAGAGAGAGGAAAGTCTAGAGTTAATCCATCCATATCCTTCTCTCTCCATAACCAACATCCTATACTATCTTGCCTCAGAACACAAAACCTCTCATCCAAGAGTTAGTTATTTTGGGTCTTGTGCTCTTCCTCTATTTCATTTTACCTCAACTAGCTCTATATGGGCCTCTTCATTTTCATTTATTACAATTCCTCCCCCATTAAGAACAAACTTGCCCTCATGGTTGAGATCTGGGAAAGCTAACTGCAAGGCATCATGGTCTTCCCAAGTAGCATGAACCCTTCCCATTGCACCAAGTGCTGTTGAATCTGATGAGAACTTTGGAAAATAACACAAGATTGCGAATATGAGCAGGTTGAATGACTAGATGAAGCTCATTGGAAGTAATTGCATAATGAACATAAGACTTTTGATGGTCTTCATGGCAGAATTTCAGCCGATGAACGTGAAACACAGATGAAGTGTAGTGGATGATGGTAGTAACAACTTGTAAGCAAATTGATCAATTAGTTCCACCACTGAAAATGGGCCAAAATATTTGAGACTCAAATTCTGGTTCTTTGTAGAGGCTGCAGCTTAACTAGAACTTGATCTCCAATCATGAACCCCACATGTCTCCTCTTTTTGTCAGCATATTTCTTTGTAGCTTCTTGGGTTCTTTGGAGGTTTATCTTCAATTTACTAAGAATTTTATCCCTCTTCAGAAGTTGTCTTTAACTGATATAGGATCGTGAGGATCGTGATTATTCGGAGGAACAAACTTAGTAATTTTAGGAGGATCTTGACCGGACACTCTCTTGAATGGGGTCCTGTCAATGCTGGTATGACGGGCAGTATTATACCAATACTCAGCTTCAAAGATGAAATACCACAAATACATTTCCAAACACCTGTTTAAAGCCTCTGACTGGCTATCAGATTGTGCATGGTATCAGTAAACATGCTCAAAGTAGTTCTTCTCAGTTTAAAAAGGTGATGCCAAAACTGACTTGTAAACACCTTGTTCTTATCCAAGACAAATGTTTTGGGTATTCCATGCAATTTAACAACCATTTTCATGAAATATTCTGCCACACATAGAGCTTAAGCTCATTTTTAACTGATTTCAGTTTTTAATGTTTGGGCATTATATTATTTTGGAATATGGCTGGACTATCCAATTACCCTGGCTTTGTTGCAGTCATATTACTCTCTGAGTCTTTTCAAAATGTGACTGAAACTTTTTATCTTATTTTTACTTTCACTCTTGGCAGGCCTGTTGAAGTGTTGCAATCCAACAAGGAGTATACTGAAGAGGATATCACAGATGAGGTACTTAAAGGAAGGTCTATTCCATTTAGCCCATCAGACCGTGGTGTGTTTGATTTCCCTGGGCTACGAAATGATATCGAAGTCATGGAACGAAACCTGTTCGGTGGTCTCAGTCGTTTCCTTGAATCAGCTGAAGAAATGAAGAATGACTTTTTCGATGTTTTTGGTAAGTCTCCAAGCATCTTTGATGCAGAGTCAGCTTCACCCTCTGTGAAGCGAGGGATCCCTATTGAAGAGCATCGTCGGCCAGAAGCTTATCCTAAATCCAAGGAGAAGGAATAAGGAGATACTGATTTTGCTTCATTGATTCAAGATGTTTAAGCTTTAAACATACCCTTGGATATAAAATACGTTTTCTGAGTATAATGTATTAGATCGTGGACATCTGGACACCACTAGCAAGTCCTGTGATAACATGTTTCTCTGCATCTTTGGGAGCTGTTTAACATTGTTTTTTTGTCTTCTAAGCTGTTACTTATCTAGCGTGTGACCAAATTTTTATATTTGCCCTACACTGAAGGATTAAGGAAAACCCATTTTAGACATTTTGTGGCGGGGTGGATTGGATGATGGAAAGATATTTATTTGCATTTACATTCATTTCTTCAAATATCCTAATAATATATAGTGGAAGACTGGATTAATTATTTCGGGAAAATTCTTGGTTACTTGAAAGAGTAGAAAGTGAAATTTGTTTCCCTGCGTGGACGAAGGTTTATTCGAAATCACTCACTCATATTCCAGACACCTGAATGATGATGGGTTTGGATGAGATTCATTGTAAAGAAAATGGAAGGAATGAATTTATGACTTCATTTGTTTAATTTTTATGTTTCACACTAAACCATTTATAGTATAAATATTTTAAAAATAAAGTAAAACTAGGTCTTATTCTATTCAATGATTGTTAAAATAAAATAAAATTTAAAAAAAGAAAAGAAAAAAAAAACACTTTCCAATCAGATTCATACTTAAAAGTTGTAAGCTTTTGTCTGATTTGAAGAGGAAATGAATTCTTGTCCAAAGGGTATAATTTATGATGCTATACTACCACTTTAAATCATTCTATTCGACAATTATATATTTGAAAGTAAATTTCATGAATGCTATCTAAATGATAATTCATTATGTGAAAATCAATTTGAAGTTAAAAGTTTTCAAACGTAATCTAACTTATTCAAATGTAATTTTTAATCAAAATTAGTTTAAAAAATATCTAAAATTAAATTTGGAGTTATTCAAAAGCACATAATTTGAGTTTGGGTGAACAGATCAAGTGGTGGTGCACGATGGATCCCTTAGGTGGTAGTGGCTTTGCTTTCATCACATCATTGACGCCATTTTGCTGTCTTGAAGGCTAAGACTAGAACTACAAGTCCCAGGACTAAGAGAATAACAAAATTGGCAACGCACTACAATCACTTTTCTTTGTTCCTCTCAAAAAAACACGTTGAGAAATGGAAGTTAGTGCGGCACCACTTATATCTGTTTTCAGCTTTCTTGTAAAATCCTTATCTGTTAATCAAACTGCTAACTTTAGCCATTGTTTCTTTTATGGTATAATATTATATTTACAAATTGAAGTATTCAACGATGATATACAATGTTCATTATTTTTAATGCTGATTTTTTAACCAAATTAAATATATGAAGTCTCCCCTTCTTACTGCTGCTGAATGGGTCACTTCCAAACGTAGATCCAGATGTACATTTGAATTGATCAAATTGAACAGCCAAGACCAAGTAAACTTTCACATTTTTTTTAACAACTAATAAATATTACTCACATTGTATGAGTATCTCTAAATATAAATTAAACATGACTATATGAAGTTTAAAAAATAAAACAGGATAATTTAATTTCAAAGATGGTTTTATACATCGATAAAAAGGGTTTTGATACAAAAAAAAAAAAGACTTTGAAAAATTTATAGAAAGGTTATCTTATCTTAAGAATGAAAACTTAAATGTATTATTGCACGTGATTATGATTAAAAAAACGTGCATTACAATTTATATTTGTATCTAAAAAAGATATCATTATATTAAAAGAAAATTGTTCATTAATCACTAGAAACTCTTGACTTCGTTAAGTAAGGGTAACTTAAAATTTTCAGAACAGCTTATTACGGAGTTATTTTTTTTAAAATATTACATAAGTTTCTGAATTTATTTAAAAAATCTTAAAATAATATTAAAAATAATGCTTATATTAGTGAGATTATACTAACATCCATATCTCTTCGAATTTCCTCTTATTAAAACATACTTATATTTCTTACAATGTTTAAATAGATATTTATTTATCTTATATAGGTTAATAAATAAAACTCACTTTTTAATGTTTAATAAAATAAGATTTGCCCCATAGTTTATGTATAAAAAAAATATATTTTGTTCATATTTTTTTAATTTTATTTTTTAAAACTTTAATTTGAAGTTATTTTTTATTTATGTTTTAATTAATATAACATTTTTAAAATAAAATAAGAGAAATAAATATTATTTTATTAAAAATATAATAGAAGAAAATGTTATTCATTAAAGAAGAAAATGAATATTTATCTAAAATTAGAAATAGGCATGTATTTTAAAATTAGTGTTAAGATAATTTTTTTTTCAAATAATAAGGAAAGAAAAAGAAACATATATTCAAATATAAGAATACCGGCAATGGCCGGAGGATTAAGACTACTCATTGCAATTTAAGTACAAATAATTCCAGGAAAAAAAATAGGAACACTCTCTAATTATTATTGAAATTTTTAATAGTAGAACTAATTGAAATATTCTCTTAATTTTCTTAATTTAATGAATTTTAATTAACAAAAATAAGTTAAAAAATTCTTTTTATGCATAAATTGAAAACTATCTTGTTTTTTAATGAGAATTTTTTTTATTAGTTTTACATCCGAAAGATCTTTTATGTAATTTTCCTGATCTCTTTATCTTTTAATTTATCATTTCTAATATACTTATTTTAAAATCAAATATCAATATTTCAAAAAATAATATTTCATCTCTATATTTTTTTCTATGCAAATACAAGGAAGTTTTGTCTCAATACAATTATTTATAATCAATTTAAATAATATTTATAAAAAAGGTTAAATATAATATAATTTATTATAAATTTCAGTTATATGAAATATATTTGTTCTATAGTATATATCCTTATAAGAAAATACGTAGCGAGCATTGTTGAATAAAGAAATCTGGACCGTCCAGTGAACATTCTCACGTAATTACCACTGGATTTCCCCGCACGCGTTTCTCCAACGTTTGAAACATTTTCCGTTTACACGACATAAACAAGAAAAAATAGAAACTGTTAACTGTCACTCGCTCATTGCCCTTCCCTCCATTTTTCTTCGTTTTTGTCGTACCTAATCACTCTCATTCATGGTTTTTGTTCTCTCTTGAATTTCCACAGTTTATCTTTCTTCTGAAATCTTCAATCTCATTAATTTTATTTCTAAGAGAAGAGGAGAAAAAAAAATAATAATAATAATATATGCACAATTTTTCCATAGTTAAAAAGAAACGATGAAATGTTCTTTCTCCTGACTCGTAGAGAAAGGATCATTTCCACTTTCTAATCGCTTACCAGAGATTACACACGATCTTTTCCATCTTTATAAGGGCAGCACTTTCTCTCTTCTTTTCCCACTTGGATTCTGTCACACGGGTCATTTTCCTTTTCCAGTTTACACTTTCCACTCCTTTGAAAATTTCCACTTTTACACTTCAAAATCATCCCTTTACACCGTTTTTCCTCGTCCACTTTTGTTTTCATAGAGGGTTTAATTTTCAAATCTTCTCTGTTTACATGCTCGCTTTAGGCTATAGTGACGTTAGTGCAGAGAATCGAATGTGATTTTGGGCTCAACTTGCTTCTTGTTTCTTATTGGCAAGCCACAGATTGTAAGTAACAAGTGCAGGATGGGAAACAACTGCGTCGGGTCAAAAACCTCGGAATATGCACTGTTTTCCTGTGTCCTTCCGAGTTCATTCTTGTGGCTTCATTATCATCAAACGAGGGTGGTCACGGAAATTTCTGATGCACCTTCACTTGTGACTAAAATTGAAGACACCAATGCTCTAGAGAATGTTCAAGCAAAGCCTCCACGAGTAGTGAAAATTAACAAAGAGATTAACATGCCTTCAGAGCCTGCAAATAAAAAAATACTCCATAAAGTCAAGAGGGTAGCAATAGGGCTTCAAGAAGAGTCAATTTTGAAGAGAAAAAGTGGTCACTTTAAGGAGTACTATAATTTGGGAGAAGAGCTTGGGAAGGGGCAATATGGAACAACATTCCTTTGTACTGAGAAAGCAACTGGGAAAAAGTACGCTTGCAAATCCATTCCAAAAGTTAAACTGCTGATAGATGAAGACGTGGAAGATGTGAGGAGGGAGATTGAGATAATGCATCACTTGGAGGGGTGTCCTAATGTGATATCAATTAAAGGGGCTTATGAAGATGGTGTTGCAGTTCATGTTGTGATGGAGTTATGTGGAGGGGGTGAACTTTTTGATAGGATTATGGAAAGGGGGCACTACACAGAGAGAAAAGCAGCTAAACTTGCAAGGACTATAGTTAGTGTTATAGAGGGTTGCCACTCCCTTGGGGTGATGCATCGTGATCTTAAGCCTGAGAATTTTCTTTTCGTAGATGGGAATGAAGAGTCCACACTTAAGGCCATAGATTTTGGATTGTCTGTTTTCTTCAAACCAGGTTTGGATAAAATGTTCGTTTCCATTTTCCCTCCCTGCACCTGCTAGACAAAAAATAATTGCTATATGATCTCAAATTACCATGGGTTTTGTTGAGGGTTTTCGTTTTTACTATTTTTATGTGATATATAACATATACTTTTATTCGTGAGAAAAATAATAACTAAACTTAATTATGTTTTCCTAAAAAGTGGTTTAAACTATGCTGGATTCCATGAAAATTGGTTTAACTATGGTGTTCTTGTTTCAATAAAAATTAATTTAAACTATGTTGGTCATGGACCATCTTTTCCAAATCAATATATTTTATTTGGTCTGTGTTGATGTACGATTTTACCTTTTTTGTTCAAAAATTTATACGACTAAATCGTGATCAATACCATATAGAATCTCCTTGATAGGAACATGCTTGCATGTAGCACTTAAAGGAAATTATCGTAGAATTTTCAAAGCAAGGATTGTAGTTATGTTTTTAAATATAACATCAAGGTCATCAAAATGATACGGTATGATGAGATAGTGTAATTGTAAATAATACTATTGTGTGTTCTGGTGAGTATTAGATATGCTCTTATAGATCTTAACCCTCTTTTTTACAGGGGTAATGTAACCAAAGTTTACACTTCTTCTAATTAATTTGCTTCTCCTTAACATCAAACAACCCGATAGTTTGATATGAGCTAGCGCGTGCTCCTTCATGCTTCCCTCAACACAATAGAATTAGTTGAAAAACCTAATTATTACATGACTTCTAAGAGTGTTTTTCACTGACATTCTTCAATTAACAGGAGACGTTTTTAGGGACGTGGTTGGAAGTCCTTATTATATCGCACCTGAAGTTCTACGAAGACATTATGGTCCAGAAGCTGATGTGTGGAGTGCAGGTGTGATCATATACACTCTTTTATGCGGAACACCTCCATTTTGGGGTGGTAATAAGAGTTCTTGATTAAAATTTCAGGGCCTTCAATGATCCAATCATTTTGCTTAATTTGTATCTTCTTAAAGTTTCTTCTGCTTCTAAAAATCCTTTTTCCTGGTAATAGAATCGGAGCAAGAGATCTTTGAAGAAGTTTTGCATGGTGACCTTGATTTCTCTTCAGATCCTTGGTCAAATATCTCTGAAAGTGCTAAAGACTTGGTTAGGAAGATGCTTGTTAGAGATCCTAGAAAACGGATAACAGCACATGAAGTTCTTCGTAAGTTTCTGTACTCGTATTCCATTGAGAAGTTAGTGAAAGACATTTCAATGCCACATTAGGTATGCAATTGCACATTAGAATGGCCTTGTTATTCTTTTAACAGCTGATGGTTTCCTTTTTGATCACATACAAAGTTACAAAGAAAATCTTTTAAAATAACCAATTATTCAATGCATGATTTTTCCTCACTAAAGTTACTGTACTATTACGTCTTTCCAATTTTAGCAAACTCGTTCTAAGAAGGAATTTCTTGCATAAATATTTTGGACAAAATATTAGGCATTTTACCAGACTTTCTGATTAGTGAGTACTAATTGTTATTGTCATAATATCATAGAAGTTGAAGTTATGTAACCACTTTGTAGATGGTAATGTGCTGATTCTTTACAGGTCACCCTTGGGTTCAAGTCGATGGAGTTGCTCCAGGGAAGCCTCTTGATTCTGCAGTTTTGAGTCGACTGAAGCAGTTTTCTGTAATGAACAAGCTAAAGAAAATGGCTCTTAAAGTAAGTAATTTTTCTAACATATAACTAACTCTTCACCATTACTTGTATTAGCAAAGTAGAATATATCAACATACTTCTGTTTGGAATTTTCAAATCGTGTCTTCATAATATTTTCCATGTTGCTCTCTACAGGTTATTGCAGAGAATCTCTCGGAAGAAGAAATTTCTGAACTGAAAGTAACGTTTAAGATGATAGACACAGACAACAGTGGTCAAATTACTTTAGAAAAGCTCAAGACTGGATTGGAAATGCTTGGTAATAATCTCAGTGAATCAGAAATTTTGGATCTAATGCAAGCTGTAAGTATTAGTACAGAATCATCTTAAACTTTCCTTAAAGTCACAAAATACACCTACTATTTAGCCAAACAATTCTCCTGATAGTATATGAGGATTCTTATTGTAGTAGGAGTTAGGACTCATTATTAAGTAGACTTTAGAAGTATTCCTATTGGATTTCATGTGTTCAAGTTGTAACTTGGCTTAGTTATGATTAATTTTTCTCCTAGTATTAATTAATCTTACCTGGGAAAGCTCTGTGAGTATCATTTAGTGAAACATTCTTATGCTAGTAGGGAAAAGTAAAATAATAAATAACAATCAAAATAGTAAAGGTAGTGTTGCTAATTTTTAGTAGCACGTTCTTATAATCCATCTCCCAATTTTGTTCTGATTGCAGGCAGATGTTGATCACAATGGCACAATTGACTATAGAGAATTCGTAGCTGCAACATTGCATATAAACAAAATTGACAGAGAAGATCATTTAGTTGCAGCTTTTTCATTTTTTGATAGAAATGGAAGTGGCTACATCACTCAAGATGAGCTTCAAAAAGCTTGTGAAGAATTTGGTATGGAGAATGTATGCTTCGAAGAAATTATCCAAGAAGCTGATCAGAATAACGTGAGTATATTTACAGTAATCCAATCTAATGTTTGGCATCTGATAAGTGAAACCATAATTCTTAAAGAATAGCATGACTCTAAGGAGGGGTGACCCTTATCTGATGGACAAAGTGTAGATTAAATTAAATATTGATAGATCTCCTTGAATCTGCCTAAGAACCAACCAGTAAGTAATGTGTTGGTTCCATCTGATCAAATTGGCACTTAATTGTGTTTTTCCACCAGTTGAATGAAAAGTTAAAACTAACATTCCAAATAATGACTTCTTCATAATTTTTTATTTATGTTAAACTAAATTTATACTGTGCAGGTATTCCAAATTTGATTAATCCTTCATGACGTGGTTGTGTTCATGTTTTACCGTTTCAGGATGGCAGAATAGACTACAATGAATTCGTGGCTATGATGCTGAGAAGCAGTACAGATTTAGGTAGAAACAGCATAAAAGGTGGCACTGATTTTAGCATTGGATTTAGGGAGGCACTATCAGTGTGTTGAGAAAAAGTGGAAATGTTTTTTTATGCCTTTTCCCACAGTGTGGTGAAATTAAATTCTTTTGACAAACTTACTCTGGGGCTATTATTCTGTAAAAATGTTGATAAGTTAGCTTGGTTTTCCCATGTTATATATGTACTTCATAGAGGAAAACATTATCTTGCCAATTCCTTCAAGTTCGGACTTGGTGACATGTAAAACTGAGCCACACCAGCATTTATTGAAGATTAATGAATGCATCATTGTGGCTAGGACAATTCATATCAACAAGTTTAACATGAACTGATGAGACTTGATAATAGAGTTGGTAGAGGGAGCTTTTCAAACGGTGCTTGTCATGCTCAACACTTGGGGTTCAAAGGATTATACTGACTTGCCTAATGTCAAAAATATCACAATCTAAGTTTAATTTCTGTCTCGCATATGAATGTTGTAGAAATAAATTATAATGAGAAACGACCTACATATAAAAGGGACAAGTCAATTCAATTCTAAAATGGGAGCAAATTTCCATCATTCGTTAAGTAGATCCAATTTTGGTTGATTATATGATAAGAATTATTCACCACATATGTATTCTGCTTTTATATTGAGAGACATATCACGCAGGGTTTTTGACTCCTTTGTCTGCTTTCAAGAATTCCGTAACCATTCTGATGAGGACAATGGAAGATGCACCGAACTCAAGTCAGTGCCTTTTAGGGCCTCAATTTGTGGGGGTATGCTTATGCATATGGCTGGCTACATGCTGTTCTTTAAATTATCATTGCCTCTTGTCTCTTTCTGCCTCTCTCTCTTTTGATCTACAATGACAATAAAGATGTTTAAATCTAGAATCTCATGCAATCTAATCAAATCTTTCACAACTAGACTCTCTTTCGGTGATTGGAAAATTATTTGAGAAGATACACAGTAATCCTTCCAAATTACAAAATTTGTTATTTAAAAATGGATAGAGATTTTTGGACAAAATTGAATTGGGTGGTTCATTATACATTGAGGAAATAATGTGGACATCACAATTTATGAAGAAACATGGTGCCTACAAGATGGTTGAGTGTAATTGTCAATGGTCATAAGTTCAGACATATCAATGAGTGAGATTTGGCTGTCTAATTAATCATCAAATTCTTAAATTAAGTGGGCTATCATTACATTACTATTTAGTTGTCTAGAAACTAAACCATTGTCTTGAAATATTTAATTGATTTGGTGAATATTGTCTATCACTTGGTCAAATAGCTTCAAAATCCAATCAGACATATGAGGAATGTTGTCACTACCCTTGTTACCTTCATGGTTAGCTATCAAAGGTAAGTTCACCTAAAGAACTAAAATCCCTTTTTCCTCTCCTCATAGTCTCTTCCTATCTTTTCTTTTATTAAGGCTGTGTATTTTTTTCCCTTTCATGTCATTTCATCTTTTTATAAAAATTCGGATAGAAATAATGTTTAGGCTTTAAGAAAATTCTAAATTTAAAACTTGAGAGTGACTTAACAAAAGCCTGTTTTAAAGATCCAGTTTAACTATTTATTAATATTAAATAAATATAGGAAAACATTTGAAATGATCATCAATAAAATTAATTTTTTAATAACTTTTAAATAAGTGAGAAAGTATATAATTTTAAAATATCAGCAGTTTTTTTAAGGAAATGATAAAAACACTATCCCGAAATTTGGACGATGGAGCATATGGTCAATCAGGGAATTTATAACAAATTATGTAGAAAATAATTTTTACATTCACCTGTGTAACATTATTACCTGCGTCTCTCCTTAAAACAATAATAAAAGGTATAAATAAAATAAAATAAAATAACCTAAGTCCAAGTATAAGGGCACGTGGATGTTACCTAGAGATTCAAGGGATGTAGGTCCACCTATCCTGTTCGAGCCACGCAAACCATGATGACATGTTTGCGCGTGGAGCGCACGCTCTGCCTACCCAATAGCCCTAAATTTAAATTGAGCTGAGTAAAATACAATTTTATGAATAATAATAATTATAAATTATCTAATTTTTAAGATAAAATAAAACTATTAACCAAATTAATAGTAACAAATATGTTTTAAAGATTAATTGTATCGCTGATAGGTTTCTAAATTGTTAATACAATCTTTGCTTTCATTTAAAATAATTAATACAAAAAATATTCTAATCTCAATTTAATATTATTTTCAATTCGAGTCTATTTATTATATATAGTTTTTGTTATTTGTAAGAGACATAACACAAGTCTAACTATAAAAGGAGCTGGTTAGATTTGGTCTTGTCTAGAAAGCAACGTACCACCTCCAGCAAAATTCGCACACAGGGTTTAAGATAATCAAACATGCACTTATTCACTTATAATACTAAACATTAATTTATATTCATAATATGTTTAAAAACTAAATCATAATAACTCTTGGTTTAAAAAAAAAAAACGACAAGAGGGAGAACAAATTGGATCGTGTGAAGTGTAACGAAACAAAGAAGGGAAAGGTTCACGTTGTGACTGCTCACGCGCGGTTGGTGGGAGGTGGTGGGGTACTTGTCAAGGTTGGCCTAATGTGCCACCAGTCATGTTCCTTCCTCCTGCCATGTCATCCCACAACACTCACTAGTCACTTCTCATAACATTACACTTCCCATTCCAATTACTCATTTTACTTTTTTGCCCTTTCATCATTTCTTCTTATCCAACCTCTTCTATTCTATATGTTCTGGGTTCCAATTATGTGTTTAATTCTCATGTTTAATTCTCTTCTTTATTCACAAGAAACAAGCATCATGGTATTCATTGTTAATTGGGTCGACTTGGGTGAACCATAGTCAGCATTTTGTGCAGAGACAGCCACATACATTTGTCTGTGCCAAAATCTCCGAACTAAAAATATTGTAAAGAAACCTTCCTTTGGGAAACGATAATAATTATTATGAAAGAGGTGATGTGGGTTAAATGATGGATTATTAAAATTGTGGTGATTAAGAAAGAAGGAAAGAGGAAGATTTGAGGTTAAGATGGTGCAGTGACAGTTAAACAAGAGAGGAAAAGAAGTTTGCTTCCAGTGACAGTTACGGAGTTAGGGAGTGGTAGATAAGTCATTGTGGCAGTTCCTATTAATCTGTCTATCCCCTTCACTGAAAGCTTGTCCCACTTCAGTTCCTTTCCACAATTTTCTCTATTTCTCTCTCTTTCACACACACGTCTCCAACTACACCTTTCAAATTCCACTATATATTCATCACACTTTAAAACCTTCTCTTCTTGTGTTGCTAATCCACAATCACATTCCACTCTGTTTTGTTTTGTTCTGCCTTCTGCACTACCAATCAACTCTATCTTTTAAGGTAATCATGCTCTATATGTTACATCTGATTTTTGGTAGATGGATAGTTGTTAATTTTCAACTTGGTGTTGTTTTCCCTCCATTGTTATTTGATCCTACAGATGCTTGTGTTATTGAATTCTGTGTGTTCTAAATTTAGATCAAGTGAATCTGATCTGTGTATTAAGTTTGCGAAGAGAGTGAGGGAAATGAAGAAATTATTGTTGGATTGGATGCAGAAACTAATCCTTACGCAACTGTTTGCTCCTCTTTTTTTTTGTGGGGCTACTCAGTTTATTTTATAGTGCACCACTTTAGCCATTCACCAACATGATCAATATCCCATCGAAGAGAAGGGAAAGTAGCCGTTCTTTCATTCAGGATTAGACAGTATGCTTACGCAGGGTCTGTCATATCCCTTGATTATCATTAATAAAGCAATTTGATTAATGTAATCTGCCTTAGGAAAAAATATATATATGAAGAGATGTGCATTTTATATTTGGTTCTATATCCATAATCATAGCATTTTTTGCGTAAATGTTAACAGCGCAATGGAATCTGAAAACGGGGTTGCTGTGGAGGAAGAGAAACGTGTTATTGGAGTAACAACAAAGGTGGAGAATATAAAGAAAGAAGTTGAGAAGGACTACAATGGTGCAGAAATTCAGACAAAGAATGAAGTATCTAAACCCACAGTGGAAGCTAAAGGCCCCATTTCTGCTGCAGTTGAAGCCTCAAATAAAAATTCAAAAGGCGCTATCAAGGTATCATACAGAACTTATCTGAATTATTATTTATTTAAATTAAACTATTGGTTGTGATGATTATGACGTAATACACAGTAGAGGGTAACTAAAAAAGTAAATGTGTTTAGGAAACTGGTGATAGAGCAAGTGTTGCTTCCAAGAGCAACAAATATGCCAAAGATAAGCATAAGCCCATTTTGAAGGATCTAAGCTCAATATCTCAAAAACAAAGGCCATCCCTTTCCCAAAGCCTTTCTTTCCCATCCAAATCATCTGGTGAAGATGCTATGAAGAAAAGCATTGATGGGTATCTTGTGAAGACAAAAGTTAAACACGTTCAAGGTAATGGGATTAGAGGTGAGGCCCCCATTCGCCATTTAAACAAATCCACAAACTCTGGAGTGAACTCACTAGCAAAAAGCAACACTGGCAGACCTGGTTTGAAACGCTCTGCGGTAGACATTTTCAATTCCTCATTGTCTTTCTTCGTGTAACTTCATTGCCTCTTATCCTTGGTTTCTATGTTCATGACTTTAGTTCTGTCTACCAGTTTGGAAGGACTACCCCAGTTACTCCAGTCACCAAGAGCCAAATTTCTGAGGCATCGTTGTAAGTTCCAACCTCCCAGGATTTATTAAATCCTTCTATGCATTTTTGTTTCAGTCTTAAGCTTTGTAGTGTTGCTATCAATAATTTTCAGTTTAAGGTAACACAATTCTTGTGCATGTATTGGAAAACTTATGTTCAGAAGATCGTTCTGCTTAATGGAATCATGAATTTATCACACTACGGTTTTTTACATTATTGCAGATTCGCTGATCATGTGTCAAACACAGCAAAAACTGTAAAAGCAAACAAAGATGATGATGATTGTCACTCCACAACTTCGTATGATTCAGTCCATATTACTCTAAGGACATATTGCCATCCTTTATCTTTTATTTCTTATAAGATTTGAGTTCTGTCAATTCAACTAGCTTGCTTTTCTCTTCTACTTCGGCTAAAATGTTGTAAAAACTTTTATGTGTTGTCAGAAGTGCTACTGCTCGTCTGAGAAGCAGCGGAATAGGGTTTTCCTTTAGATTGGAAGAAAGAGCTGAAAAGCGAAAGGAGGTAGTTGCTTAAACCTTACACCCTGTTGATGTTACTATTGCCAATGCCAGAACCAGATGTTAATCCTAGTTTATCCCTTTTTACTTAGTTTTTCTCAAAATTGGAGGAAAAAATTCTAGCCAAGGAAGCAGAGAAAACTAACCTACAAGCAAAATCAAAGGTATATCATCACCATAACTTAACTATCATGGAAATATTTTTGATAAACTTATCAATAGCAACTTAATCTAACTTTTTCATAGATTGAAATGCATGAATTGATTCTCTTTTTATTTCTCTTTCATAAGTACTGATTGAAAAATTCATACACATTGACTTTCATCTTGAGGTTTAAGTTTTGACCAGCAGCTTATCAGCTGCTTTAAGCATATTCTCTATATGTTTTGTTCTGGATTTCCGACAGGAAAACCAAGAGGCAGAGATCAAGCTATTGAGGAAGAGCCTGACATTCAAAGCCACTCCAATGCCAAGTTTCTATAAGGAACCCCCTCCAAAAGTTGAACTGAAGAAGGTAACTAATCTAAAAGTTAACTTCCAATTCGGGATTATGAAATGTTTGTCTATATTCTCATCTATGTTCTTTATTCCTTAATCTTTTTATGGTGATAGATTCTCATCTTGATGGTAGTATAAAAGGCAGATCATATTGCTATAATATTTTCTTCCTTTGTTTCTTTACACATATATTCTGATGTATTTTATCTCTACCAATTTAGATACCAACAACACGTGCAAAATCCCCAAAGCTTGGTAGGCACAAAGAACCTGCAATGAACAACAATTCAAGAGAAGATAAGTCTTGCTCCAGTCCGAAACAACAGCAAAATGATTCAAACGAGGTTAAAGGTCACAAGGATGTGATTTCAAAGAAACCAATCCGAAAAACCCAATCCAAGCTGAATTCTCAAGAAAATATAACCACAGAAAACAAAGAAGAATGCCAAGTTCCACATGATAACAAGTCTGAATGCAAAAATGACATGGAGTCACAATCTGAAACAGTTCATGCACCAAATAGTGCACTGCTTCTAAATTCGACCACACCTGAGTTTGTGTCATATGAGGTTGTTGTTGGAGTGTAGATTTATACCATCGGACTTGATAATTATGTAAGATTAGAGATCTATGTTGTTAATTATTTCGTTATCATTGTGAATATAGAGGTTGGTTCATGTTCATCATAAACATGTATTGCAAATAAAAGTTTTTTTTTTTTTTTAATGTTGAGTTCTGTGATGTACATGAAAATGCCTTATTAATTCATTATTTAGCAAGTCATTAATGTATTTGACGGTTAAAATTTTCTTTTTCTTTAATTGGAAAACGACACTAAAAAAAAGAAATTATTTCTTCTGTGTAATAATAAGTTTTAGTTTTTTTATGGGAAGAAAAATTGCACTCGAGACAATTGATTTGATTCAGATTTGCATGAGCACTTCCCATTGAAGAACATCATGGTAAGGTGACTAGGGGCCTGGTAAGTTTTTAAATCTAAATAGGAGAAAACTATTAGAAATTAATTTATGTACAAACTAATTTTAATTGAAGTAATTCATTTAAGTTTTATTTTCTCTCATAAATACTTGTAGAAAAGGATTAGCTTAAGAGATAGATAGCACATTTAGTTTATCAATGTTTGATAAGTCATTTAATAATGATTTATATTATTATTTTTTTAACAAGTTTGTAGTGTTATCTTTTATCATATTAACTATGTTATCTCAATTTGTTTTCCCTTTTTTTTTTCGTTTTTATATTTTTCTTTTATTGAACTTTTTTTTTCTATAAACATTATAGGACAGATTAGATGTAGAAGAAAATGTTAATTCTTAAAATCATATCCATACATACATATTTCAAGATATATTCCAAAATAATGAAAATGAATCTTCTTTCATGACATTATGACCAGAATGGTTTCTCAAATAACATTTCTTCGGGGTGAGATTTCTAACCCTTAAAAAACACTTATTAGTATACACTATATTTTCTGTATGAAGAACTAGTTTTAAAAAATAAACTCTAATGATCTTCAAATTTGACTATCTCAAGTGCTGAATGAGATCCTATCCCTTCAATTAACATTATCTTAAAAAATTAAATAGAAAGATAAACAAATACATCTATTAGGTATATAAAGTATTAATTAGAAAGCAAAAAACTTGGTGCATTGGATTGAGATTTCTATTTAGTTACTGGGCTCAACAACTTGTACGAATCACCAGAAATCCATAATTAAATTAAATTTTATTTTTATCTTTATAAGTATTTATTTTTTATTTTTAAATCATTGAATGTGTGATTTTTAAGTCTTACTAAAACATTTTCATTTTTTTATTATTTTAAGAATTAAAAAAATAAGTAAGAATTTTTAACTAATTTTAATTTGTATCATTTTTTACCCAATAAGATTTTTTACAAAAAAAAATACATTTTGATAATTGAGAATATCGTTCCAGAAATTGGGAATACAATTCTAGAAAGAATTGCTCATAATTAGAAAGTGAATTTTGAAATATATTTATAGAACCCACTCTCCAAAATAAATTTTGAGAAAAATAATTCAGGATGTTCTGAAATTTTCGCAAAATTGTTCTAGATAAAACAATCTAAGTCCCAATAAACAATTTTAGTGTAGGAACATGTATTTATTTACATGATATTAATAATTACTCATTTTTAATCTTTAAAGTTAGAAATAATCTTAAATGAAGATAGTAATACAATAAACCAAATTTGCATATCTAGGAAGGTACATTGCATGAAAATAGAAGAAGAAATTAAGATTCGAAAAAAAACTATTGAAAAAATATTTTAACTATTTTACTTAAAGATTCAGAGGTGCATTAAAAAATTATGGAGTTGCAATGTACATATATTATCATCGTTACTGGACCAAATGAAATAAAGAAACAATATTTTGGCCTGATTGTTTGTTTTTCTTGAAAACTGTATTTTTTTAAAGAACAAAGACAATGAAAAAGAGTAATTTTGTAAGAAAAAATTAATAACTTTACTTAATTGTTTGATCGGTTACAAACCGTCATATAAATTTATCAACATATAATCACTTTAAAGAGTCACACTAATCATAATTTATTATTGGATTATTCTGTTTACATTGTCAATGCATGATCATTAACTATTTTTTCAGAACTGTTTTAAAAAAAATATCTTTTTTTTTCAAATTTTAAATTACAAAAGTTATTTTAATTCTCCACCTTTTTTTAGTATTTTTTTCCCCTTAATCCTACCTTCTTCCTCGTTTTTGTTTTCTAAAAATTGTTTTATAAATATTAAAAAAATATTGTTACGTTTTTTGTGTTTGTCTGCAACATTTTACATATTTTTAATATTTATGTTTTACACTGTAAAAGCATATTATCTTCCATTATATTGTTCCAATATTTGAGTTAAAAAATGAAACACTTTTTTTCATATTTAGGGTTTAGAGAATGTGAGGAATTAAATTTCATTGCATCGTGGTCCAGTTAAATTTGTAAAACTTTATAAAATAATTTTGTTTACTTTTTTTATTATTTTATTAGTTAAATTAAATTAAATATTTCTAATGATCAACTACCTTAAATTAAAAATTCCTTGACTAGTTGAAAATGACGCCCAAGAATACAATCGGCAAGAATGTTAGAGTAAAGAAGATGATAAATCAATAATGCAAGAGAATATGTCAAATGCTGGGAAGAGATGAAAAGTTAGCTTCTTCTTTCTTCTTTTTTTTCCCTTGAAAAGGACTTGCTTTTTAACCTTTGGTGATTGAGATTTAAAAAAAAAATATGGATAGTGTTTGAGAAAATTTTCAAGATCTTAACCTAATATATTTCTTTGAAGAATATTTATTTGGGATAATATATTGATAACTAGATTTATAAGTTTATAACATTTTTAATAATATAACAATTATTATTATATTAGTGAAAGTAGTTATCAACTTGTAAATATTCTATGTTCCAGTTGTAATATATATATATATATATATATATATATATATATATATATATATATATATATATATTATTAACTTATTATGATGGGAACTACCACCCAAGAATGATTAAATTTGTAGAAAAAAAAGAGTTTACTTTTTCAGTTTTGTTATTTCTTTAAGAGAAAAATTGATCAGATTTTTCTTGATATAAAAGGGAAGTAGCATTCTAACCTTTAGGTTCTTACCTGCGTTTCCTCTGAACTCCACCCATGACACTGTCAATAAGAGAGAGCATTGAAGAGAATCACGATTTGGAAACCTTAACCACATTAAAATTAGGGTAAATGAATATTCTAAACTTTTGCTTTTCCATTAGTTGCACAATTAAACAGTTTATGCATGTTAAATTATTTCCATAATCGTAGTGTAGTGAAGCTAAGTTTTACGTGAACGAATGTTGATATATGGTAAATTTTATTAACAAATGAACTCGACTTGATCTCATTAAGTAAATTTTAAGTTTGCGTTTGAATGAAAAAAGTAATGAGAAAAAAGACACTAAATATAATTAATTAGATAATTAGATTTCTGGACAGAAATTAATCATCAATTTATTTTTGACACAGATTAATTATCTTATCACTAAAATTGATGATACTTTCCCTTCATTACCTTGTAAGTTTAAAGTTGCAAATTTGTGAATGCTTCAAAAGGTTTGGAGAGTTTTTTATTTTATTGTTTTCTGTTGTCTAATAATCTCATGGTTTAATACGCACACATATAGGAAATACGTCTAGCGAAAGGACTTTGCTTAGATGAGAGTAAAGGAATAAATCAAAATTTGTTGAAAATACCGTAACTTTTGCATATCCATGGAAAAGGGAAAGAGAATAGAGTTTGTATGATAGATCTGTAAAGTTAGGGTCAACCTTAAGAGTAATGGCTTCCTTCAAAACCACAATCGTTACGTTACTTTAAGAGACTTTAATGATTTATTTATTTAAAAGTTCACGAAGAGAAGAGGGTTTTATTGAATATTATAATGACCGACACCAACGGAGGCCCAACAATGCAAGACCTTCAGCTGCTCTGTCTTCTTCGGCCAATAATTAATCCCACCTGCTTCCTTTCCTTTCTTCTTTCTACACTTTCGCATCACTCCCACCATTAATTTAGTTTTCCATGAAATAAACCCCTCAACTACACCATCATTTACTACAATCACAAGGAACTTAGCGCGTACACACGCCTGCCTCAAAATGAAGCACAGGTCTATATTTCTTTACTTTCTTTGTTTAAAAGAATATAAACTTCAGTTGGGAGGTCCACTTCATCGTTCGCTGTTTCTCTTGCTTTAAAAACCATGCAAAAGAAAACGAGTTGGAAATTCGAAGGCATAATATAATATAGTAATAATTTGGAAGGAATGATGATAATAAAGTAGATTATGTATGACTTGATTCACATACATACAAGCAAGAAAAAAAAAAAAGGCAACCAAGAAGGGGCGTCGGTTATTTACCACAGAGACGGAGAATCAACATAATATAAAATTTAATAAAAAAATGGTATGTAATTACAGTATGAAACAAAATGACAGAAAATTTGTTTTTGTTATCTTCCGTGTGATCGCTCTCCCAGTATAGATTGACAATGCATCCTTCGTATTCAAATGATTACTCTACAACTGCAGAATTCATAAAAAAAAAATGTGAATCAGAAGACACTGTTATGTTATCCAAGGGAAATAAAACAAAGCAGGCAAAGAATGGTTTGTTGGGTAAAAGTAAAACTTACCATTCAGCGAGTTTACATACATTCACTCTTTATTATATTTTTGTGATTAGTTGAGAGAGCGATCTCATTGGCAGACTTGTCCAAAAGTTCCAAGCATGCTACAGGCCATTTCCATCAACTTCCCTGCCACATGCGTTTGGGTAAAATAAAATGTTTAGTCAACTAAAAGCCAGGCAATACCAATACGTTTTCACATGCAAACAATAAAAAGAACACCAGTTGTTTATTCAGAGGGTGAATGAGTTTTATATCCAACCTAAATTCGTATCAAACAATTAAATTGTAAAAGAAAAAAAGGAATCCAACCAATATGACAGTTGACTAGAAGAATTATAATAGGGTGTAAATAAAATAGACGATGAAGCAACAAAATGAAGGGCGTGGTGCCTATAATAATCAGATGAACATGGAAAGAGAAACCGTTTCAGCAGCCAAGCTCAGGTGGGTGGGGAAAGTAGAATGTGGCTAACAGCTTGGCACACCGAATTATTTTTATATGATTTATTTATTAATCAATCACATGGACTAGTCCAGACAAAGGGACAGACTATCAGAGTAAACAGAAATTCATTCATTATGGACAGCCCTTTTTGTCACCGTATCTGGTACTTGCCAAGGTCTCTCTCACTGCTTCCCCCGCTAAAAAAACTCACACATACGTTCATAGATAGTAAAAATTTTCTCTTCTATTTTCACCCAAACTAGTTTATCCCTGCAAAGTGGAAACCAAAACCTAAAACTAGGTAGCCAGCCAGCTCACAAAGATAAATCAACAGAAATAACGTTAGAAAAAGAGAAAACTCCCTATACAAGCGATCCACAAAAACTCCCTTCTTAAAAAGTAAAACAAAACAATGGCTTCACACGTGGTGCTGGCTGGGTAAGTATTCCACACCAGCCCTTTCCAGAAAGCACAATGCCATAAATATAAACACGATCCCCCCTTCCACAAAATAAAAAGTACTTAACCCCAACACCTTTACCCTAAACTCACTCCAACCAGCCACTACTCACCGAATACCTAAAACCAAATCAATCCCTATTATTCTCCAACAAATAATAACTATGATAAAGACATCGCAAATAATATGCACAAATAAACTCAAGCAAACAAGATTAAAAGCAATGAATAAAAAGTAAAATAAAAATAAATAATAACAATAATAATAATAATAATAATAATACCTCTCCTTGGTTTAGCGGCAACCTTGACAAGTGGAGTGGTGCGGTGAGTGCGTTCTTCCTCTTCCTCCGGAGGGATAAGAACGCCGTCAATTCCCTGGACGGAGATCCTTCCATCGGTGAAAATATCAGGATCGAACAAGTAAGCGGAGGAATCGCCGTGACCGAATTTAACGGAACCGTCGGACTCCTGAGCGAGAACCTTATGGGGCAACCGCAGGGTATCGTACCGGACCTTACCGAACCTTCTAACGGCATTGTACATACTCTCTTCGGTTTGGTACTCAGGAATAATGTGATAGTACATAATCTGCTCCGGTGCGCCCGGTTCGCTCAACTGATCCGTCGTTAACTTCGCCATCGCTTCATCGTTTGGTGCCAAAACGGTCAGAACGTAACCCTCCGAAATGAGCCTTCCCATTTCGGTGGCGAGAGACGTTAGGTTAACTAGAATATCCGCCATTTCGTTGTACCCTCCGTAATGCAAGAGCGTGTGGATGAAGTCCTTCACCTGCCGCTCACCGTTGAAGTGATGCTTCGGGCCTCCAGGTCCCGGCGCCGGCGCCGGCGCGAGGGATGGTCCCGGAGCCATGGCGTCGTAGATTGGGAGCACGGGAGGCGCGCCGGCGGGAACGGGGGCAGGCTTCTTTAGTCGATGGGTGCGGGGATCGACCTCCGGCGCGGCTTCCGGGAGGACGGCGGAGATGGCGGCGAGGTTGCGGCGGCGATTGAAGTCCTCCTGGACGGATCGGGGGACGATGAGGCGCTCGATGCCGTGGATGACACCGTCGGGGCGGACGACGTCGTCGGCGCGGAGTATCTCGGCGGCGTCCACAGTCTTCTGGCCGGAGGGTTTGGTGGCCAAATGCAGGTGGTGGTGGTTCCCGAGCGTGGCGTGGCGGCGGTCGGCGGCGGGCCAGTGGTGAGAGGAGATTCGCGTGGGGAGAATGTGGGACATTAGGAGTGTCTGAAGGGAGCGGAGATTGCGAGGCTCGAGGAGGAAGCGCTTGAACTCGGGGTCCAGGTCACGTTCTAGGGCCTGGTTTCGCGGTGCGAAGATGGTGATATTGTGGTTGCCGACGGCGTCTTCTAGCTGCTGGAGAAGAAGTGCTTTCTCAACGAGCTCGGCAAGTTCGGTGTAATGGGAATCTAGAAGCGCGACGAGGATGGAGTTGGAGTTAATCTGGGGAGTAGTTGAAGAGTTGTGAGGGAATGCGGAGAGGGAATGGAGTGGTAGAAGGAGGAGAATGAAGAAGTAGGAGACGCCATAGATGGAAGAGGAATCCATGGCGTGGAGGAGGGAAAGAAAGTGTGCGCGTGTCCTCGTGTCTGGTCTTGTGATTTTGGTGGGGAAATGATAGTGAGGAAGGGGGTAAAGTGGAGTGTGAAGAGGGAAGAAGGAGGCGTGGAAGTGGGGTATGGTTGGTGAGTCTCTGTCTCACACTCTTCTCTCTCTCTCTCTCTCTCTCTCTCTTTCTCTCTCAGGCTTCAATGGTTTTGCCTTTGCTTAATGGTTGAGGTTGAGAGAGATGTGAAATGAAATAGTAGAATACAAGAGCATTGGTATAGAATAGAATTAGCAGCACCAAAGCGTACATTATACACACAACATTCATAGCATAAGCATACTATTCTTTGACAGCCTGTCGTGGGGACCACACGGCAACTTATGTGCTGGTATCGTCCTCTCACCTCCATCTCTTTCTTTCCAACCCAACCCACACCTCCATTTTCTTTTCCTCACTACTTTCTAATCTCATTATTATTATTTTATTATTAATTATGAGGTAAACGAGTTTTGGTTTATGCAATTTGCCACCAAGTGAGCTGAAATTAGAGGTTTTGTATATGTTAATAAAAGGAGGAGAGGGGAAACGTGAATATTGTGACGTGAGTGATGTGTGTGTGAGAGAGAAAGCATTCTGGCAAAGTGTCGGTGTCGGGGAGAAATGAATGGAATTGGGTTCGTTTAACATCTACGCTCCCTTTTTCAATTTCAACTGCGACTCGTGAGTGTGTGTCACTAGGTTTTTAACTTGTAAGCTTCCTCACACCTTCCTACAACACCGACGCTGACTCACCCTCCGCCGGTAGTTCTTCTGTCAATTCCAATCTTCACTTCTCACTCACACTTTCACATCACCATTCCACCCTCTGCTTTGCCTTCCCCTTAAACCTCCACATCTCACAACTTTCTTGCATTACAAAATTCACAATTATAAAGCAACACTCTAACCAATTACTGTAATCATAAATAATAACACTTCCCACCTTTCAACATGCGTTTCTCCTCCCTTTTATATCAATTTTTCTACATTATTAATTACTTTCCTTTTTTTTTTTTCTATACACCCTCCATCCAATTTCATTATCACCTTTTTCATCCACCAATTAATTACGTCTCAATTTGACATCACTGTTTGTATCCAATCTACTTTTCAAATGCATTTTCATTTCCCACATTTCTCTTTGTCACAAGAATCGCTCGTGTACAATGCACTCCCCAAAATTGTTATTCACAAAAATCTAATTTTACCATGTTTTCTTCAAAAAACTATGCTTACTTCCTTTGTCATAATGTGTTTGCTAAAGAAAAAAGAAAAATATATTGCATTTGTTTGAGAAAAAAAACATTAGAAATATAAAATGATTTTTTTTAATAAAGTAACATATTGTGTGTTTAGATAAAACAATTCTCATGTTTCAATGCATCTTTCTCTCATAATATGTAAAATCAATAGTCATACAAACTAAAAACTGTCAATAATGTTAAACAAAATAACCGATTACATTAAACTAAATAATCGATTATGTTAATTTAGAAAATCCAGTTCGAACAAAATCGATTGAAATACTTGCAACTTAATAGAAATCTTCATCACAACCAAACAACATTTTCAATGAAATGGTATTTATATAATCTCAACAATGATTTTTTTTAATTTATCTTTTTTTATTATTATGATATATAGAAGAGAAAAACCGTAAAAAAAATATATTGTACAATATGTATGAATTGTTATATATGTACCACAGCTCATTTTTTATTGTCTTCTTATTTTTATACATTCCTCTCTATCTTCAAACTACCCATCATACTGTAAATGAGACTTAACATTTTCTAAATTTTAAAAATCATCCATTTATCCATTAAAAAATCAAATGTAGAGAGTCTACATGTCACTTTATTAAAAAAATTATATATATATATATATATATATATATATATAGAGAGAGAGAGAGAGAGAGAGAGAGAGAGAGAATAAGCTAAAGGTTTCTCTCAAATGTTAACTTAAACTTACACATAAAATATACTTGTTTTATTTAATTTCCTTCTTGTTTTGTTATCTTATAAGTATTTATGGGAAAAAAAAATCCAATTATATTATAAAACTTATTTTTTTTAAAACACTCGCATTTTCTAGACAACATTAAAAAAATTATTTACAGTATTTATTAATTAAATATATAAATAAGATAAATATATATTTAAAAAATTATAAAAGAAATGTTAAAATCATTTAAGAAAATCTCGTATAATGAACATGATTTCCTTTTAACACTTGACATTGAGATAGTTTTATTCATTGTTACTCGTCGATCCATCGCTTCAATTAATACAAACTGTAACAACCACTTTCGTTTGGACATTTCTTCACTGCAACCGCAGGTAACCATGCATGTGCAAAAGTTGGAATGTTTGCAGAAACATGTAATCTAGTTGCCGCTTTTAGATACGTTAAACTCTTCACTGTGTTTGGGCACAAGATATCATAGAAACAATAACTTTTAACTATAATAGCACAGCTGTTTTTCAGATTCTAATTTTTATTACAAACCCCAACATAAGTGCCACGACTATTTCTCTGGCATATATGCTCCTTGGTGTCTCATGTTTGAAGAAAGTTACCCTTGGGGTTTAAAAACTTGGTGAGACCAAATATATAATTCGCACCAAAGGTTTAGTACAATGAACAGATTCACACATACGCTTTACTCCCAATATTAAGTTTGTGATGGTAATAATTGATAATATCATAGTTTCATCTTTTGATTTTCTGATTATTTAGGAGGAAAAAATGCGTCAAATTTATGACCTATGAATTATGGTATCTGTTCAACCAAATTGGCATTGGATATGGAATTGGAGACAACAGAGACCTGTCCCTTTCATGTGGAAGTTGGTGATAGCAGAAAGTTTCAAGAGGTAAATGCCTAATTTGATCTTGTTGATACAGGGTTGGGGGATACACTGGATTTGTCCTTGTTAAGGGCTCAAGATTAGGTTCAGGCTGACAAAAAGAGAAGTAAAGCTTGAGGAAGGAAATTGGTGTTCCTTAAGCTACATAAACTGAAGAAAACATTGGCAGGAAAAAGGTATGACAAGTTGGGATTGGGACCAAGGGACTATGGCCCTTATCAAATTACAAGATAAATAAATAAATAAATTGGCGCAAAAGCTTAGCAGTAACAACTGCCAACAAGGTGCTCCTTTCACCCTGTTTTTCACATGTTATTTCATTATTAGAGATCAATTGCCCTTCCTCAGTAGTACAACCTCTCACCATTGGCATTGACAGAAGACATGGAATTACAAGTCAACCTGAATAAGTCCCGAGTGTCCATAAAAAATAATTCAGGAGAACTAGAAATCCTTATTCATTGGCATGATATACCCATTTGGGAGGTTCCTTGAGATTTATTCAATCTCATACAATAGCAGCTCCTAAACTTTCACCTCGAGGGTAGTCAAGGTGAGTCTTTTCTGGAGAGACTGTGGTTTGGCCCAAGTTTGTTTTATTATCTGAATATTGAATAAAGAATACAGAAAGGGAAGTTTATTTACAACAGGGTGGATGGAATAAATTTTTAAGAAACCTTGTTGTGAAGTAGAAATGGTATTAGTTTTGACAGTCGGGAAGTGTTAAGGACAGTACCCCTTAAACTTCCCTGAGTTGTATCTCATTCTTTCCTCTCAAAGAAATATTTCCGAGAGTCTTAGTGCAATAGTACACATTTTCTTACATTTTTTTTTTCTCTTTTCATCTTAATCTAATAACCATAGCATACAAAATATTTATAATAAAAATAGTGCTTCTAAAGAAACGTGCAAAAAAATTATTTGTACCAGAAAATACATGTTACCCCCTCACTCCCCATTATTACCTCATTGTCATATCTTACGTTAGATTCCTTAAAGGAAAAAATTTAAAATGAGATCCAAAGTGTCATTACTACCGAACACATTATGCACTTGTACCAGGTAGACTCGCTCCTTCTATTCTATGTACAAAAGGTATGCTGTGGTAATTGGTGAGATTTTATAATAATAACCAAAGCAGATTTTTAGTTAATGTACAGAAGGTAGGAACAGTTAATTCTGTTCTGAAAGATTTAAACAAATATCAAAGCTTACCTTCAAATATGAAATGCTGAGGAAAGATACATCAACAGAAACAAAAAAGAGATCAACTTAAATGTGAGCTAGCAGATCAAGCAGATGGAATATTGTCATCATTTGAAGAGTTTTCCCCACTAGCATCAACATCGTTCTGGTTGCTCGCCCCTCCAACGGAACCATCCTTCATATGACTTGACAAAGAAGTACCCTCAGCTTTATTATTTTCACTAGTTTCAAGGGGCTCCTTTAATCGGGATACACTAGCAATCTCACCATTCATCTCTCTCCTCCTTTTTTCTGAACCAAGTTCTGACATAGAACAACTACGACAGAAAAACTTTTCCCTCCATCCCCTTGCGCCCTTTGAGATTGATTCTTTGTACCTTAGTGACAATATAGGTTAATGTCAAATAAGTTGATTAGACAAATACAGTTTGCACATCCATTATATTTTAGAAATTTATACCTCGCGGACATCGCATGGAGTCTGGCCCGCAGCGAATCAGATTGTGGCTCTGATGGCCCTGCTGTATCTTGGTTTTCTGGTGAAGAAAGAGTACTATAGCCTCTGCAGGCAAATAAATGCACCGGGTATAATTACACTAGACCACACAATCAATAATGATCCAAGAAATAAATTGAGTAAATTCCTCTACCCTGCTTATGTTTATTGTGCATACCTCTCACCTCTATTACCAAAATATAGGTAAAATTGTTTTATTTAAAGAAATATATTACACTGAAATCCAGAATATTTTTAGAGACTAAGAACTCCGACAAAATTGTTAATTGAGTAAAATATTAACAGTTTAAAATTTATATAATGAATCAATTAGAGGCATGACAAAACACATTGGATTTAGTTGTAGCCTTTTTATACAAATAAAAATGAAATTTTAGTAGTTTTTCAAGGTAGAGAGGTGTGCCAAGTAAACATGTTTTCAAGATCTCATCTGATCTAAAAATAGGACCAATGTAATCCTTTTAAGTCTATTTTGTGGGGTTAATAAACCCAAATTCTAAGACGGTACCAGAGTTTATTCTACGTTTGTTGTTTCACAACTGCAAGTTAGGCCCTAAGTTCAATTCTAAGTCTCGTCAATGGGCCCCCGAATTTGTTTATGCTCTCAAGATGTCTATTCCTAAGCAAATGAATTGTTGTTATTTGGTCACCCATTTGTAAAAGCTCTAATATGTATATGTCTACTCTTAGACTTGAGGAAGTGTGTTGAGTTCTCACAACAATTAGAGATGTGGTGAATGTAGTTCTTTAATATAAGAGCAATCCTCGTCTCATAAGTCATTTTTATGAGTTGAGTTAGGGTTTAATCCCAAATTCTGAAACACATAATATCAAGGATGGGAGAATAATGATTTAAGCAAATAAATAATATGGGCATAAAGACCTATCACTGGTGAAAATTCTTAGGCGACTTGTAGCCATGACAGTAGATCCAGAAGCTGAAGAAGAGCTTTGAGTTTGAAGGTCCTGGAACAGTTGCGATGCTTCATTTCTCTCAGATTTTCTTGGGGTAGATGGACGGGATCGGTTCGCTCTCCTCACCGCTGCAGCAACAGCTAAATGTTGAATAATTTGATCTTCAAAATCAGCATCATTTACACTCGAGCGCAACTGCAAAATGATAAAAAGAAAATACTACATAAACATCTGAAAGAACTATGATATGCTTAAGATATAAGACAATCAAATATCACTCAGACTGGTAACTGACGTGCTCCAATTCAAAATCACTAAAGGCAGGGTGACGGAAAATATTAGCATTTCTTGATGTGTTAACCCTCAACTTTCTCTCCTGCTCTACTGCCTCAAACGATCCTTGACTGCCATAAAAGGGATAGAAGTTTAATTGCACAATCAACAAAAGAATGATAACATAGATCCTCCAAGCAAAATTATAACCAACCTAGTAGGATCCTTCAAGCTAATAGATTGCCAACACATAGGACACTTGGAGCTTCTCTGACACCTAGAAACAAGAGCCAGTAACAATTGCTAGAGTATATTCTTACATTTTTTTGTTTATGAGAACAAGAACTTTTAATGTCTTAACTATTGAGGTATATGCATGTATATAACAAGAATATCTTCAACAGTGAAAAGATCCTCCTCCTCCTGGTCATATCCAGACTACAAAATTATAGGCCAGCTAATTGGTTTTCCAGCCAAAACAGTAAGCAAAGTTCAATCTCAGATCACAAGCCATAACTAGCGTGAATGACCTTAACGTTGATGAAAGTCAGGAGAACCAAAGCATAGGTCAACATTCCAATTCATACTATCAATGAAGTCAATTAAATTATGATTTCCACAAATCCTCCATCACTATAAGGCATCGAAGGTGATGTTTTATGTAGAAACTGAAAATCACATGTATCCAGCATCGATACCGGTAGGTGAAGGTGCAAGGATTATTTGTACTGAGCTTGGTGTGATTATGATAGAAAAAGGAGGCATACAAAGAAATTCAAATAGAAATTAAAATTGAAGGAGATTACTACATGGGACATTGACGAAAATAAAACTTGTGTTAGATGGATTTGGGAAAAATATACACAAATAGAAGTCTTAATTTGACAGAGATATATGAAAAAATAATGGATATTATGTACCATTCGAGAATGCAGTGTAGGTGAAACTCATGCTTGCAATTAGTGACCTGGAAAAAAAAACAAGAGAAAAAAAAAATTAAGCAAATTTGTTTTTCATATATGTCGTAGTTGCTTTTCAATATATTTGAGAAACAAGAATTGTGACACAAAAAGTGGGTATTACAGTCGAAGGATCGCTAGCACAAAACTCCTCAAGACATATACTGCAAGTATCACCACAGGAGTCTTGAATCCCCCCTTCAACAAAGGCCGCAGCCGATGTCATATGATTGTCTGTTTTGTCTTCCATCTATAAAACCTTCTACATATCACCCCATAACCATAATGTCAGATACAATATTTTAAAGTGGTGCTCTTGAATTCATGATATTGTGAACAAACAAAAAAGGAAATTCATTTAATCATTGTTCAAAATTCATTTGAATAAGTAAATGTAAAATCTAAATTCTACCCAAAGTCACCTAATAAACCAGGAAGCTGACATGGAAATTATGCATGATGTTACTGCTCTACTTTGCCAAACAATTTCTCTCTTTCAATTATTTATTCTAACCACAATCCCCAACATAAATGACAAATTAAACAAAAATATTCTAAAAAAGAACAACTGATGTTTTAAAATAAAATAAAATAAACAAAATATAATAACAATAAATGCAGTTTTTAACAGACTGAACTTAATTCATGATCTATAAAAAAGGGTATGTCCATGCCTCAAACATTTTATCTATTCGTTAACAATTCATCAAACACCAGTAAAATATAAGATGAAAATCTAAGGCAGCATAAAATTGTCGTTATTCGTTTTACATATTCATAAAATCAAAAACAAAATCGTGAAATTTAAAAGCAAGAGGATGGTTGATAAGAAGGATTCAATGAGGAGCAAGTCCAGAAAAAATGTAAATCTGGTAAAAAAAGATGTTTGCAATAAGGAATTGAGGAAAAAGAAAGGATAAAAATATACCTGGGAAATGGATGGAGGGGAAGAGAATGAAGGGTTAGGACAGAGGCATGGCAAGGAGAGGAAGAGGGGTGAATGCTAGAGATCCATTGCGGAGAAATCAGTGATAAGGAAGAATGAGGAACCGCATCAGAGAGAGGCGAACAACCAAGTTAGAATTGCACTTTCTTCAGCTTTATATATCCCCCAGATTCTGTTAATTCCACGCAGTTCAGTTATTAACTATATGATAAAATTAAATATTGCAATTGTTTTAGTTTAAATTTAGTATGAATATTATTGAGGATAAAAAAAATTACATGTGGGTCTTTATTTAGACCGTTTTAAACGTATTTTGAAGCGTAGACTTCCAAAATTTATTTAATGGCCCAAATTCTTTTTCTTACTAATAAAAGGTACAAAATACCTGCGGTCTCGAATCTTGCTGGGCCCAAACTAACTGTCCAGATTATTATAAGTCTTAAAATTAGAACGAGATCGTTAAAATGAAAAAGTACGATAGGTAATGTTATTGCCTATTTTACTTTACATTTCAAAAGTTTAACAAACTCAGTCATTTACAAATTACAACTCCATGCATCAAATATCGAGTTACGTTAAATATTTGAAAAAAAAATATTTTGCAGTTCATAATAGTCTCATGTAGGACTGTCTCTTATAAATGGTGTTAGTGATTTTAAATATATAAAAAAATTAATTAATGACGTTAACACTAAACACTGTAACTTAACATGAATACACACCATATAAAAAAATAAATTGTCTTCGTTGTACCATCAATTGCTTACATGTACATATTTTATTTTTAGATACGAGTACAATTTATTAGTCATATAAAAAAATTAATGATATAATAAAATATAGAATAATTTTATTAATATAATTTAAATTTTATTAAATATTTTTATATATTTTTAATTTTCAATTAAATTAAATGCAAATTAAAAAAATATAAAAATAATTAATAAAATTTAAATTATATTAATAAAATTATTCTATATTTTATATATAATAATTTAATATATAAATAATAAGAAAAATATTTTATTTACTTCCAAAATAAAAATTAAAGATTTACTTTTTAGTATAATATTTTATTTTTGAATAATTTTAAATAATAATTCATTTTTATGAAAGTGTTAAAAAATATATTATTATATTTATTTATTGTTAAAATAAATTGATTTTTTTATTAAATTAATTATTATATATTAATAAAATAATATTATTTTTATTTTTAAATAATTATATTTTTTAAAATATTTTTAAAGAAAAAGTTACTATTATATTTTTTATTGTTAATGAATTACTTTTAAAATAAGTAAATGAAAAAAATTAAAATTGGTTTCAAAAGTAACACACATGAAAAAATGATTTAAACACATAAGTTTACACTGAATTACGTATTTTTATAATAAATGCTTCAAAAACTATGTATAAGATAATCTATAATTAGTTGAAAAAAAAATATATATATATATATATATATTTACAATCACTGTCTAAGGAAATTAAATTATATATTTTAATGTTAAAATAAAATATATAGTATTCTTTTAATATTAATTATTTTATTTCGAGTGAGAAGATGATGCATGCATACATATAATATAATCCCTCTCTCTCAAGAATCAGTTTCTTTTCCAACCCTTCAATAATAACAGGGAGAGAGAAAACCTCACGTGTCTCTTTCACCAATTAAATTATGCCTTTTGCTTGTCAATAAAATATGAATTAGAATGAATAGGCACAGAAGTTGAAAGAGAAAGACAATGCTTATAACAGAAAGAGCCAAAAGTTTAAATTTTTGTTTTTCTTTTTATATTGGTGTATATCAAATAGAGGTCAGATCATAAATAATAGAGTGAAATGAAAACACCTATTGTGAAAATAAATAAATATTTCATCTAAATGAACCACAACCGATCAAAACAGTGGAAAGAAGAACCTCAACACAAACATATCAAATTAATTTATCGCACATCCATCAATTGTCTTAGGTCATTTTAATTTTACCAACTTAATTTTGATTACAAATATTTTGTAAAATGAAGCTATTTATATTTAAAATGTAATATTAAAATCTTATTTGTAGTAATTCAATTTTTGTTAGATCTAAATGTGTCAATTTTTTATTTAAGATTACATTCACTCTCAGACGTAAATCTTAAACCTCTTTTAAAAATAAATTTTGCTAATAAAAAATTAACATCCCTTTCCATCGTTTTCTTTTCTCTTTTACGTCACTGGTTTTGGTAATTAAGATTCAAGTCATCGACCTTTCTAGAACTAGAATGATTGCATGAAATCAAATCATGAATTAGCAGAAATCTCGTGAACATTTTAATTCCCGTAAGATTTTTTTTCTTTCGTTCAATTAAAGTATGTGGGTAGAAATATAGTGAATGTTCTACAATACTAATAATGAGTTTCTAAATGATGCAAAATACTTTTGGAAAAAGTGGTCCACATTATACAATTCTTAAATAAATTGAATCTGCCAAATTCCCATTTAATTTATTGATTATTATATTTGTGGTAGCGGCAGATCATATTATCCGGTGATATTATATATAAAATTTGTCAAAAAATTATTTAAAAGCTGTAATTGCTTGGATGAGTCACACACACACAAATTGTTAAAATATCAATTCGAATTGCATCAGCAGTTGTAAACTATCTATTCATAAATTCATCCACGACACAAAAACTCATAGTCAATTCAAAAGGTTAAGAGAGAGAGAGAGAGAGAGAGAGAGAGAGAGAGAGAGAGAGGATAGTAATGAAGTGTTGATAAAGCATTACTCTTTCTTTAACCTGCTACCTTTGCTTATCCAGAGTTCAGAGAAGACAGAGGAGAGATTGATAAAAGAGAAGAAATTGGAGAAAACGAAGATGAATGGCACCACCTGAGGAAATACCTGGGAACATAAAAAGTGGGAATTTTGATTTGTGAAAGATGGGAAGAAGCAAGGGATGAAGTAATATTGGAAGAAAAGTGAGTGATCTTTCCCACTTCTGCTGATGAATTTTTCTGTTTTGAGGACTGAATGAAACATTGGATGCATTTAATGTTTCGTGGTAACTTTATACAAGCATGTGTGGACCCTTGTACTTGCCATCTCTCACATCAACATGAATGAACTAGGATGCTTCCATCCATCAAATAAATATCCAAGTACTTGGATGGCAACAATCTCTGAACCATTTCCACAAGATCTGCCTTTTACCTATGTTTGTATACTTCCTTTATTCTTAGTATTATTGTTTGAGTCCTAGCCCAGGACATTGGCCCCTAACTGGTAGGTACCCTCCAAAACAATGTGTCAGAATAATTAGGGGGTGAAATGAAGAAGAAGGGGATGTGAAAGAAATCAAATGTGGTATCCATGTGTGGAGACAAGTTAAAAGAGAGACAAATGGTATAACGTGGATGTTTGCCACGGCCGGACCCCCCCAATTGGTGCCTCTGAACCACCTGCACACTGTACTCACTCAACCCTAACTTAGCTTCCATTTGACAGTGACACATTATTTCTAGTACTCCCTTATGCACTGTCTCACTTCATCCACACACATACCATTCAAATTACGTGAAACACACACACACACACAAAACATTATTAAAGAACAAATAGGTGCAACATGCTCGTGATCCTCTCCTTTGGTGAAACTGACTTTTTGTTCACAAGTTACAATATCTAATGTTTCAACGCCTTTCTTTCTGTCTTCTGGTTATGACTTACAAGTGCCACAATCTACATGCGACCCTTCGATGTAGGTAAAGTGTATATATAGGTGTAATTGAAAAATGAAAACCTCATGGCCCACAATAATAAAATCGTTTACTAGGCAATAATGGTGGAATTCAAATAAGCCTCTAGTACTACCATTTTACTTTCAATGTGCCATTCAGTATTGTATCAATCAAATAATGAAACTGAACTCCGATTCTTAAACAAAATTTCAAATTTAAGTTGTTTCAATGAATTTATCGTAATAGACCAGAAAGATGCATGAAATATGTGTTTCGGTTTTATGTCACAAATTTATTGTAGCAGACAAGAGTTCTCAAACTCGCATGCTAGATGTTTGTGGTGGTGATCTTGGGTAAAGATAAGGTAGTGTTAAAAACTTATTAATCCAGTCATTTTACTATTTTGTTTTTCTCTCAAGTCATTAAAACTAACAACTTCAAAAAAAAAAAACAATTTATTTCTTACTTGATTATAATCTTTCATAATTAAATTTTCTCTTCTCTACTTATTTTTCTGCTTTCCTTTTCTTTTTATACAACCAATAAAAAAAAGTATAAATAAAAACTCTATTAAATCAGTCATTGACATTAACCCCGCATGAAATGATAATGTAGAAAAAAAAAATTATGTCAGTTTATCACACCAACCATATTAATTTTAATCCACAGAATTAATATTTTCTTTAAGGTTTATAATGTATTACACATTTCATCAAACTGAAAGTTAACATGGTAAAAAGATGAAATAGGTCTACTATAAACTAAAAATAAGATGAGGTTGATAAATTAAAATCAGTAAATGAAACTTCATTTTGCTTTCTCTTTTGTAATAAGAACTGTAGAAAGAAATTCCAATCCCCACCCACAAGTTCGATAAGGAAATTGAATCTGCAATAAATCAAGCAGCAGTAGCAGCAGCAGAAAATCTTGTGCAGTATCATCAGAAAGTTGACCATATTTTACACATGGGAAACCTGGCACACAATTTCACACAACCTGAAAAGCTCATCCAAAAAATGCAATACACAAACAAGGAGAAAGTCTTGAAAAAACTAAATAACAACTTATGAAGACCCAAGGAAGAGTTGCATTCTCATTATCATGAAGAAAAAAAAAATTACGCATACAAATTTGTGTATGTACTTATGATATGAAGGTAAGGTTCAAGCAAAGAGGCTTGGTTGGAGAACAACATTGGAAGAGTGCGATTGCGTTTGCGTTAGCGAGGGTTCTCTCTTTTCTCTGTTAGAAGAGCTTCTCCAAAAGCCAGTGCTGTAAAACTGGTCCCACATCTCTTTCTCCAGAGCGAGTGTATCGTCGTCGCTATCTGGCTCCGGCGAGTGGAGGCGTTCGATGTCAAACGCGTCGTTGGCGCACAAGGGGTATATCCGCGACCCGTTAATATCCTCGCAGCACCCGCAAGAGCAGTGGCTGCGCGTGGGTTTAAGCAGCTTCTCCTTAGCAATCTTCCTGTGCCGCCGCTGCCTCAGCATTCGCCGGCACAGCTCCGCCGGCACCTTGTAGATTACCAACACCAGGAAATTTGCCACGCCGCAGGGGACGCAACAGCACACCGCCACGCACTCCGCCGCCGTGCCTCCGACCACCTCCCCCACGCGCGTCGTCAGCTTCGACGGCCGCCTCTGCAGCAGCGGCTGCCGCCGGTTCGATGCCCGGAACATCATCCTGTTCGACATCGCCGAAAGATTGAGACTTTACACAAAATCGGATGAAGGTATCGGGCTTCCAGCCCCACGCAGGTTCTTGTAGATTCTTGAACAGTGTCGGGGAAAAAAAATGCTTGAAAGTAAATATTATGAAGATAGAAGAAAGGGTGAGGATTTAAGAAATTTTAGGGTAGCAATTGGAAGTGGGTGTTTGTTAAGGGTCTTGCTGGGTTGGAAAGGATGTGGCGTCCTACAAATAAGGGATAGATAGAAGAAGAACGTGAAGGGGATTTGGTGTGGCGTGGTGCGGTTTGATGAAACGAAAATTTGAGGGAAACAGAGAAAATGATTTGATTTATTTGTTATATGTGTGTGATGTGAAGGGCATTACTCGGAGTGACATAAAATTTTGGAATTAGGAAGCGTTTGTTTTGTTAATATTAAAGTGCTACGTGGTGGACTCAATCTTGCGTCCTAACAAACAACGTCCTTTTCCTTTCCACCTCATCCACACGCCTCCGTCCCCACCGCAGTTTAGTTTTCTAAACAGTTTTTAAACGTTTAATCCAACTCCACTTCCGTTTAACTCTTTAATTGACCTTAAATCCACTCTTCACAACTATACTTATGTCAAAATATAATTCTGCTCTCTATAAATATTTAATAACATATTAAAAATATAATTTAATTAATTAAATAATTGTCATTATTATTGATAATATTTCTGTGTATGGATTACTCTCGTAATTCTTCTATTACTTATAAATTAAATTAAGATAGAGATAATTTATATATCTTTTCTCTTTATTTAAAGATAAAACTCTAATGAACGTCTAAAACAAACAATATCCAACAATTTATCCGATATGAATTGATCATCGCATGAAATTCAAACACTCTCCATTCCAAACTAAATTAAATATTAGAAAAATATCATAACTGTTTAGTTTATAAAAATTGAAAGGGACCAAGTTTTATAAAAACTAAATGAAATAATAGAATTGATGGTGAACTTAAGTGAAATTCATAATTTCAAGTTTAGTCAATATTTTTACCGAGGTTTTTGTAATTTTTTTATTTATTTTAAGGTATCAATCAAATATTATATTTTTCCTACAATATTCGTCACCATTTATTTTACTTAAAAATGAAAAAAAATTAATCAACATGCAAGATAAATAATATGTTCAAAAATATTTTTTTATGGAAATCTAAAATGTATTAATTAGTGTTGTGTTCAAATCTTAAATGTCAAAAATGGAAGGACCATTATAAATTATTAAAGTATCAGACAGTTATTTGCATAAGTTTTTATATGGATGGATATTAAATTTAATATCATTACTTTTAGCATGCAATTATTAATTTATACACTAATATTTAATATTATTGAATGACTGTTAATTCATTGCATTTAATATTTATTCGTTTTAATCTAATAATATCAGTAAATATAAATACTTTTTTCTGTAATATAGATAATTTATTTAGTAATAATAAATACATATGTACAAATTTAGTGTAATATACAATATAAGTTTCATTTATAATATTAAACTGCTACTTTGACTATCATAATGTCCTTGGGTGGAGGTTCAAATCTCTTAATAAAATATTAATAATGGTACCAAAATTACAGTTATTATATTTAATAATCTAAATATAATTAAGATCTTATCAATTAATTATATGATTTAATTAAAATATATTAATGTTTAAAGGATAATTATAAAGTTATTGTTTGAGTGTGAAATTAATTACCACGTTGATATGTACAAGTTGATTGTAATTTTGAAAGATTAAGATATAGTTAAACATTTAACGGTCAATTCATAAAATTTGGTGTTTACGCCAATTTTGTCAGTTTTATTACTTGTATTTTACGGTATAAAAACCAAAATCAGTTTTGAGAAAATATATTTTAGTACGTGAGTATTTTAATTTTTTTTTTTAATTTTGAGAAATAATTCTTTTTTATTTATATACCAAACCCGAATTTATTTTAAATTTTAAACATTTTATATATAATATAATATTATATATATCATGTTTTAGTTCCATATTTATTTATTAATTAAATAAACTTTATTTATTGAAATCCTCCTACCAGATAATAGATTACATTTTTGTTTTGAAAACTTCTATTTTCTTAATAAATGTGTTTAAGTTGAATTTCTTTTTATTTTCTTTTTTATTCTTAATGCATATGCTTGATCCAACTCGTTTTCAAATTAAAGCAAGGAAAACGAAACAAAACCTCGAAATACAATACAAGTACACTGCGAAGCATTGAAGATGCCATAAAATGGAAAACAAAAAGAAGAAGCACCAAAATTTTATGTTTGACTAATTTTCTTTTTGGTGATGTTGAGCAATTTAAGAACGCAAGAGTGAGTTGTCTTCAATCAATGGGATCAAACATTAAAAAAACAAAATTAAAAAAGACAGCAAATAGAAATATAATATGTTTGTTTCGATGTTCCTAAAACTTATTTCGTTTCATTCATGGCAAAGTCTGTGAATTCAAAACAATTTTATTACATAGTCTCTGACAAAAACAAGTTGAAAGTTTATCCAAATCTGGAAAAGCAATAGAAGATGTGTTGATAGTTGTTATACTTAAAAAAATAAAAATAGAAAGTTTATCCAATTCGTTAATATTTGTATTTTATATAAAATATATATATATATAATATACATTTAATTATATAAACAATTTTTAAATTTTTATTTATTAATTAATATTTGTATTAGATAAATTGAAAATTTATTATATTTATATTAAAATAAATAATTATAATCAATAATTTAAATTTAGTTAATTAATATTTATAATTTAAATTATAATATTATAATATATTTATATATTTTAATAACATGATAAAAAAATATAATATTTTTAATTATAATTTTTTATTTTAATTTTAATATATAAATATATTTTTAAAACTGTTTTCAATTTATAGAGTTAATGAATTAGCGTTACAAACAAACGGATTAAAATTAATAATACATTTATTATTTAATTTTTATCATCTATTTATTTGTTTTGTTTTACTTAAAAATAATTATAAATTTATTTGGACAAGACTAATCAGGTTAATCTCATAATTTGTTTCGTAAAAAAATATATATATATTATATAACAGACATACTCTTTCATTCAATATTTATTTTAAATTTTTAATTCATAAAATATTATAATTTATATAAAAAAATAATTTATAACATAATAATTTTCTACTTTTATATATATATATATATATATATATATTGAATAAATATGCATAAAATTCATGTGACTATATTACATTTATCTTCCCTACTAACTTCAAAATAATTGTTTTACACCTTTAGTTTTCACCATTTTTTAATTAACTATTTTTGCAAAATTATTCAATAAAATTGCTAGATTAAAAAACAAGTAAAGGGTAAATTTACGGTGGGTTTAGTTGAGAAGATGATTAGAAATAAGAGCTAAATATCTCTTCATGTTTAATCAAATTTACTTTTGGTTTCTAATTTTTTTTTCTTACTTTTTCATCTCTCATAGCTTTTTATCTTGTTCTTTTCCTTCAAAGCACTTTAGATAGCATTTTGAAATGAAATGACTAAAACAGTTTTTTTTTTTTTCTTTTTTAAACAATGAAGTGATAACATTTCTTACATATTTTAGTGTTCATCATTCTATCTACTTCTGCATCATTTCTCACTTTCTATTCATTCCATCGAACACTTTTAACATTAACTTTACCAACTTATTTCCATTCAACAAATATTCTCAATAATATCATATCAAGAAAAGTAGTAGGTTTATGCACGAGGCCATCGAAGATGAAAAAAAAAAAAAAAAACTAAAATGGAAATCTTCCAGAAATAGTGGAATTCCTATAATTCATGATTCCCATGTAAAGAACTCTCCTGTTAGGAGGCATCATGTTCTCTAATTTCGAACCATCCCTCTCAACATTCTTCATCTTCCAAATTTCTTCAGCCTTAATTCTTCCTACCCTTGTAGTAATCATTCTATTACCTCCACCGCAACTCCTCTCTTCCAATGATTCTTTCGAAAACCGCACTTTCTTCTTCGATTGATGTTTCTCCAACCCTTCTACAAACACAGAAGAAAACTCAAGTTGTAACATAAGTGGAAAAGTAATGGCATCTAAAGTTGTAACATACCACGCATTTCAAACTCAAATTCCTCCATGAAGCTAGATAGTAAACGTTTATGGACTTGGTGAACCACGAAGGCCATGCTTCCAGATACAGCAACCACAGCCATGAAGCCTAATCTCATGGAGTTCTCCATCTTTCTTTTTTCTCTTTGCTATTTAACAATCAAAGTTTGGATTGGATTATATGGACGGAAACATAGCCATTTGTGAGTGCCATCCAAGAAATGAAGATGCAGTGGTGGGTAGGAAGAAAGAGAGGAAGAATCATTTTGTGTATAACGATGGATGATTGTTTGTGTTATATATGGAACATGATACTTAGAAAATGGAGCATCTTCTCAACACAACACAGCAATACAATAAGAATCTTTTTTTGGGTAATTAATTTTGGATCATAGAGTGGCGACTGGATTTATCTTTAGGCTTTTCTATCTTAAAATTTATTCATTTCTATCTAGAAAAAGTGTTTCTAATCTATCATTATGTTATGTTTGACATTGTAAACAAACAATGCTTAATTTAAACTTGTCCAAAATAACATTTTGATATTTTGTCTCTTATTGAATATTTAGATTCTCTTAATTAAAATAGTCCATCAGATTAAGATGGTTACACGATGAATATTGTCTCTTCTTTATTTATAACATAATATTGTTAAGAATAAAAACATTTAATTCTTCTTAAAGATTAGACAGATTAACTTGTTTAAATAGTCAAATACTAGAATAAAATGAAACTTTCATGAATGTTATTTTGATATTTTACGTTAAAAACAATTCAACATTAATAGTCATTAATTTTATTATTTATTATTAGATTAAGAGAATTGTCACTGACAGGATTCGAATGCAAGTACTTCGAGTTGGAGGGTGATACTCCAACCACTAAGCTATTCAGATATTTTGATAATAATTTACAAATAAATTATATTTATATTTATCCGTGTAAATATATAAATATAAAATATATATAAATATAAAATATATTTATATTTTGATATATTTATGTATTTGTATTTGTATTTATATATTTATATTTATATATTTATATATTTATATATTTATATATTTGTATTTATGTATTTATGTATTTATGTATTTATCTATTTATGTATTTATATATTTATGTATTTATGTATTTATGTATTTATGTATTTATATATTTATGTATTTATATATTTATATATTTATATATTTATCTATATATGTATTTATGTATTTATGTATTTATGTATTAATGTATTAATGTATTTATGTATTTATATATTTATATATTTATATATTTACACGAATAAATATAAGTATAATTTAGTTGTAAATTATTAGTAGAATATCCTAATAGTTTAGTGGTTGGAATATCAGTTTTCAACTTTAATGTACTAGGTTCGATTCTTGCTAGTGACAATTCTTTTAGTTTAATATAATTTACCTACGGATAGTAATTCAGTAGGTAATATATATTTATATATTTATATATTTGTATTTATATATTTATATTTATATTTATGTATTTATGTATTTATGTATTTATATATTTAGTTGTAAATTATTATATATTTATATATTTATATATATGTATATATGTATTTATATATTTATATATTTACACGAATAAATATAAGTATAATTTAGTTGTAAATTATTAGTAGAATATCCTAATAGTTTAGTGGTTGGAGTATCAGTTTTCAACTTTAAGGTACTGGGTTCGATTCTTGCAAGTGACAATTCTTTTAGTTTAATATAATTTACCTACGGATAGTAATTTCGTAGATATTTATATCTTTATGTATATATATATTTATCTATATGTATTTATATATTTACACGAATAAATATAAGTATAATTTAGTTGTAAATTATTAGTAGAATATCCTAATAGTTTAGTGGTTGGAGTTTCAGTTTTCAACTTTAAGGTACTTGGGTTCGATTCTTACTAGTGACAATTCTTTTAGTTTAATATAATTTACCCACGGATGACATTACCTATGGATAATATTCGTAGGTAATGGATAATTACTCACGGATAGAATTCCGTAGGTAATGTACAATTTACCTACGGATTTTCATCGATGGGTAATATCCGTAAGTAATGTAAAATTTACCTACTGATTTGTATCCGTAGGTAATAGGCTTTTTTTTTGTAGTGTTACCGACGTAAATTTATGTTGGATTTAGGATATATTCAACATAAATTTACATCGGACTTTGGGGTATAACCACCTCCTGATCCAAGGTAAATTTCATCTTTTTTTTGTTTTACAGCGAGTCCAGATTTCAATAGACATAATTCAAAAATACAAAATACAATATAATACAAATATTAAATTAGTACAAAGACTAAACTACTTAAAAGATAAATATTACAAAACTAAATTAATACAAAAATTAAACTACATAAATGTTACACTACATAATACAATGCAAACAATAACCTACAACCTAAGTACTAAAAATGTTGAATTAAAAATCTTGCTCATTATTCTCTAATTTGTGTAATAACATGTTCTGATAGTGGAGATTAATGAATCTTGAAATACCTGAAACATTAATTTGACTTTTATTAACATGTAATAAATATAAAGGTAAATGAACTTAACAAATGTTGAAAACAATTACCTCCGTCAAAGAATCAGTTATACTTGTATAAACTTTTGTCTATTACATGTGGTTAGGAGCATATTTTGGAAAAATTGTTGGGACAAATCCCCTTCAAGCATTTGTTCCCTATTCTTCGCTTTTTTCCCTTCATTTTCATATGTTATGTTTCTAAATCCGATATCGAAGTCAAAAGTTATCCTTCTTCAAACATTTTTTGTTTTCTTTTCATCATCATAAAACCCTAAATTTTATATCCTGGAATATCTTCTCTTCACATGGTACCATATTATAATTCAAATTACAAACAACAAAAAATGTAAAATTCAAACAAGTAAACCATGAAAACATAAAAATGCACTGTATAAACCATAAATCCACTCAAACATATAAATAGATAATCATAAACTACATCAACAGTTCAATTTCAATAACAATCCAATAGAGATATTCAATTTCAATAACGTGATGTGATAATATGAGAAGATAAGTCCTAAATCAAGGAACTTATATGTTGGTGCTTACTTTTCTTGTTATAAAAAGAGCATCATATCTATATTGTAAATCACTCAAAATCTCTTTCTTCTCTTTTTTACTAATGTATTGCATAGTAATTGAGTTCTTTTATTTCTAAGAGAAAATATTATTATTGTTTTCTCTTTAAATTTAGAGAGGATATTGTAATTTTTTTTCGATAGTAAAATTTTATTATTGTTTATTGTCGATTTTGTTTCTCTTTTCTCATCTTTTGTTTTAGTTGTGACTTTTATGCAGTTACTTTGATTCTTAAACGGTAATATCTGAGTCGGTGGTTGGTTTCTTATTTATGATATGATATAATTCACTGCTATAGTAATTAGAATAGTGTTGGAGAAAATTCTTAGTATATTTTGTGGTTGTGGTTAATCTGATCTTCCATATCAGAAAAAAGTTATTCTAATTATTAGATATAAAGTGTGATAGTGTGATAATGCATGTCTAGGAAAAGTTCTGGTAAGGAAATACTTGGTATTTAAGTGTGTTTATTAGTGACTCGTATCTCTTTCCTGGGAGCTTACCTGGTGTACTAGTTACGATTTACAATGTTATTCCAGTAGGCAATACTATTCATAGTGAAAGGTGTATAAGTCGGTCAAAATCATGATAACAAAATATGATATAGAGAAGTTTAATGGGAATATTTTCTCATTGTGAAAACTGAAGATGAAAGACAATTTTTGTGGGTATCATAGATTAAAGGTGAGAAGAAATTAACAACGTTATAGCAAATTTGTGGAGAAAGGTACAACGGAAGAGATTTGGGAGTCCCTTGTCAAATTGTATCAAGAGGAAACACATATTGGACTTGGTTTATTATGATGTGTTGGAATCGTGATGAATGGATAAAATATCATTACATTCATGCATTAATTTAGGTTAATTTCATATGTTGTTGCATTATGAGAACGATTTCATCATGCATTATCATTGTTTTGGATCATACATGTGGTTTGTGCATTGTTCTTGTAAATAGGTGTTTGGAGGTTTAAATTCATAGTTTGGAGGGAGTTGGTGTCAAGATAGAAATATTTCATATCAGCAAGTTCCACAGGTACCTTGTGAAATGTTCCACAACCTGTGGATTTGGTACCAGAATGCAAAGATCAAGATCAGAGAGCTCCACAGGTGAGTTGTGGATGTTTCCACAACCTGTGGATTTGTGGTTCAGAAGGCACAGTTGAAGTCAGAGAGTTCCACAGGTGGGTTGTGGATTTTTCCACAACATGTAGAAATTCAAGACAGTTATGAGAAGTGGTAACTACCTCAACAAGTGGAGAAAAAATGTAGGACACCCTATAAAGAAGGTGGAACGAAACTGAAAAGGGGGGGAGAACCATTCTGGAATTTGGGACGTTCTAGTTATTATCTTTTAGCAATTTTTACATTATGCAAAATTGATTTTCCTGTTGTTGGAGGATTGATGTAGTACTCTGAATTATATTTTCTTGTTTTTGAAAATTGATGTTTAGTTAATGTTCTTTATCTCAGTGTTCTATTTATAATTTTCAAGTTCATTCCACGAGCAGTTTCACAATTGGGAGATTGGAGGTTGTTCGCGATCCTAAATATAACAGGTTAGGGTTTGTCACAATTGGAAAATTGGGCATATATCTAATTAGTTTGCAATAGAGAAGATTATTGTTTTTTCATGATTCTATTGAATGGCGTAACTGACTTAAGGGATTGGGGGTTCGGATTCAATGAATAGTTTTGCCTACTAACGGATTAGAGGTAAAACAACTCTGGGTAAACTCAAGTGGATAATTACATTTCTTGCATCAATTGAAAGGACTGGAATTATATAAGAAAGGGTATGAAATTAATTCTCTAACAGATCTTATTTTGACTAAAGTTCTTATTATAATTCTATGTTTGCTATTTTATCCAAATTTTCAATTGCTCAAACTTACGTACATTAGGAATCTAGTATTCAACAAATTCAATCCCAGAGGACGATATTTTATTACTACGTT